TGGGGACTTATGAAAATGCACAGAGCCAGGAGCTAGCAGCCTCGTGGAGGTCACCTGGTCCCCTCTCTGGTGTTAAAGATTAGGACAGGGAGGCCTAGAGAGTGGAGTCGCACAGCCCCACGCACAGCTGGAGCTCCCTTTCTTTAGCCTTACCACCTCTCCGACGAAAAGGGACACCTGCTCTTGCTTGAGCCTTACCAGGTCCCCAGGCGGCAGCTGCCCAGTGTTTACCTCCCTGAATGACGACCACGCCCAGCAGTGTTTGCACAAACAGGAAGCCGCTTAGGGCTTGGTGGTCACGCAGCCAATGCAGGAGCCAGACTCCAGCCCAGGGCCCTGCCAGCCCAAGGCTTTGCCACCTTCCAGGAGTGGCTCATGCCTCCCACTGGTATCTGCGAGCCTCTCTCTGGGCACTGGGGTGGCCCAGGTGACAGACTCAGCTGTGCCCTCTGCTGAGGCCGCCAATGTCAAGGACAACGTGCAGAGAGCCAGACAAGTGCAAGCAAAATCCACCCTTCTTTTGAAGTCAGTGAGTGTAAAAACCTGTCACGGCTCACTGGTCAGAGCCAATGGATGCCAGGCGCCTCCGGGCCACAGCCAGAACCAGCTGTGACTCACGATCCTTACGTGACTTACTAAGTGATCCTTAGTCCGGGTGCACCAGTGAGGGGCTCACCAGGCCAGAAAGGAGGAAGGAAACTTTCTGCCGCCAGATCCAGGCCAGCCGGCCCCCCCTTTTGATTTTCACATTCCTTTGCAGTTATGGGGCCTTTTCTTCCTAGGCTGATGACATTATTAAGCATTTCAGGTTATTTATTTTTGTTAACAATCATAGATTATTAGAACTAGAAAAGTTCTTTTGGAATCATTCCCCACCGGGTTTTACTGACACATGCCAGGGTCCAGAGAGGGTAAGGGATTTGCTCAAGGTCAACTGGGAGGCAGAGCTAGGACTGGAACTCAGGTCCACTCCAGGTTCTGTGTCCAATGACCAGGCACCAAAGCTAGTCTCCTGGGCCCAGCCCGTGGCTGGGGCAGGCCCGTGGTCCACCGCGATCAGGCCAGGCCTGGAGCTGGCCGTGGGAGGGCCCTGTGCAGCCTCCCACCCTCCTTAGTCCTGTGCGTCCCGGGCTTACCCTGCCCCATTTCCTGCTGAGTTTACTCAACCTCTTATTGCACCTGGCCAGCCTTAGGTTAACTGCGCAGAGTTATTAACCAGGAATGGAGCTTTCCACCCGCTTCCCCGCCAGCCCTTCCAGCTGTCCACGCCTGGCCTACTCCGCGGCCCTGGACCCAGGAGGGCTTCCTGGAGGCGGCGACAGCGGAGGGGGATGCGCCTGGCCTTATTCCCTCCACGCTTTCCATGGTGGGCCCAGGGGCTTGCCGGCGCAGGGGATCCTCACGCCCGGGGCCCCTGGGGCTGGGAGCCCTTGCCGGCCACCTGGGGACCGCACCCATTCCTTCCTCAGCTCCGGGTAAAAGGGGCTGCGGCGGGGCGGGGCCGGCAGAGGGGGGCGGTGCGCGTGCCGCGCACGCGCCAGGACCCGCCGGGCCGGTTCGGAAATGACGACCTTGCGCCGGGCCCAGCTCCGGCCCCCGCCAGGCCCCGCCCCCAAGGAAGACCACGCCCCCACCAAGACCTCGCCCCCGCCGGGTTCAACTCGGACCTTCTAGGCCCCGCCCCCGCTCGGGCCCCGCCCCCACCCCGGGCCGCAGGGAAGGCCCCGCCCCCTCAAGCAGGCCCGGCCCCGCGCAGGCCCCGCCCCGCGGACTGCGCTCCCCTGGACCCCCGGGCTGCAGAGGCTCGGGCGCTGGGCCGGCGTTGGCGCGGCCGGAGCGCGGGGTCGGAACCGGCGGCCGAGCGGCCCCAGCGGGGTGCGCCCAGCAGGCTGCGGCCGCGCAGCAGGCATGGCAGAGGCGGCGCCGCAGCCCCTGGCGCTGCCCTCGGGGCTGCTGGAGCTGTGCGCGCTGCTGGGGGCCCCCCGGGACAGCCTCCGCGGCCCCGAGCAGGTAAGGGCCCCACGGGGAAACTGAGGCGGGGCGCGGGCCGGGCGAAGGTTGGAGGCTGCGGCGGTCGGAGAGCGGGGTCAGGACCTGGCGCACCCCGAGGCGGCGCTCCGTGCCCGGCGGACCCCTCGACCCCCAGCCTGGGCGTCCGGGCCCCGCCACCCCGCCCTGTGCCCACGGAATGCCCTGGGCGGGGACCCCGACCGTCTGCGGGGTGGGGGCAGCGGGCCGAGGTCCGGCCAGGCCCGGCTCCCTCCAGCCTGCGGTGCCCAGAGCAGCCGCCCTCCCAGCAGCGGAGGAGTCGCGGGTGGCCGCCGCCCGGCTCCTTCCCCGGCCCTCCCGGAGCGCCCCTTGGCGGGGACCCGCGGGAGCCCTGCGGCCACTGCGGTGACCGGGGGCGCTCGCGTGCGCCCGCCCCTCGTCTCCAGGACGCCCACCTGGGCGAGGTGCAGGCGGGGTGGGCGAGGCTAATGCGGCCGCTGCGCCTGGACTCTCCCGGCCTCGCCTCGACCCCGATTAAGTGATTTCATTCGTGACGCAAGGGCTCACTGTCCCCTAAGTGGTGGGTTCTGTTCTAGGGACGGTTTACTGAGATTTTAAGTTTTAGATTTAAGGACTGCCTTTACGTGTTCTTCATTTAGCCGATTGCGATGAAACCTAGCTGCTTTTCTCATTCGCGCTAGAACCCTTGCTTCCTCCCCCTCCGTTTCCTCTGTCTCTGCGCCCTAGCAGCCAACGGGACAAACTCTTGTCCCTTTCTCCAGGAAAGCAGCAGCTTTGGAAATTCTCCTTCTCCTTGTTTCTTTCCTGTGCTCTCACTTTTTCTTCCTTCTGGAACCCCGGCTCACTTTGAATCAATCTGTGGCCCTCTTCCTCTCTCGGCCCAGGATGTCGGTGACTGTCTATGTCGTTTTCTTTTGGTTAATTCAGAGATTCCCCGACTTTACCGCCCAGTTACCTGGGCAGGTCCTTTCTTCTAGTTCCAGATGACGGCATTGAAAGGCAGAGAAAGGCATTTGAGAATTGAAGACTGCAGGGTTGAAAGGACCTCACCCAGAGAAGCTGAATGTGGCTGAAATGAACCAGACCAGTGTCTGTTAATGTCTTGGTGGTCTCTACTTCTTGGCTTTAGTACAGAGCCAATTCGATGATTTCTGCATTTTCCTCCCCTTTTCTTACTCCCTGACCCCCCCCATAATGTCAGTGTCCCCTTTTGATCTCCATCTCCTTTGACCCTTGTTGACTGAGTTCACTTGTCTCTCTGCCTTGAAGGTGCCAAATGGCATTTCCTCCTTTTTCTTCTAATAGGAAATGAGCTGGTTGTAGTCTTCTCCACAGTTAGGCATCTTTGCTTCTTGGACGGTTACAACGCATCTGTTTGTTGCCTTGATGTGAGACATGTCTTTTGAGAGCAGGATGAATCAACTGGAATATTTACAGTGGTACTTTCCTGAACTGCACAGGCTGTAACATTTTCCCAGTGGGCGGTTCGCTAATCTACATGGTAACTTTTATCCTCTTTATTCCATACCCTGATTCTGTTAGGGCTTTGGCAGAGGATGGAGAGAAAAATAGTTGAAGGAGCAGGAATAAAGGGAGGTTAAGAGATGGATTAAACTTCCTGGAGCAACCTTACTTCAAGGCCTACGTTAATGTTACGATTAACCAACCATATCTTCGTACTTAGTTTTATTTTTGTAGCAGTTCTATTTTAAATGCCGAAGGCCTTTTTGTAACTTTTAATTTTGCTTTTTAAAATAGCTATTTCTCTGTGGTTCAGGCATTTATATTTGGTGACACATGAAAAAAGGCCCAGAGGTATGAGAAACATCCAACTTAATCTTAGGACTGTATAGTGTCCTGACTTTTTGTTTTACTTCTTAGCTGGAGTGTGTTTGTTTTATGAGATAGTGACAAAGAATTCGAGAATACAGTTGGATCCCATGTGGGCTGCTGGGTTCCCACAGAGATGGAAGCGTGCTCTGCACACCTTTCATAGTCTAGGTCTCTAGCTAATTCTGTGTGTGAAGGCACATTTTTATGGTTTTTAGTGGAGAGCAAGCATCCTGGCTTTCAATTTCCAGAGCAGCAGTGTCCAGCAGAAGTTTCTGGATGGTGACAGCCAGTGCTCTTTATCTGTGCTGTCCTATACAGTAGCCACCGGCCACATATGGCTACTGGATGCTAGTGCCCCTGAGGAGCTGGATTCTTAATTTCATTTCATTTTAATTAATTTAAATTTGAATCGCCTCAGTGGCTACTGGCAACTGTGTTGGACAGCGCAGTTCTAGAGCAATAAAAACATCCATTAATTTCTGTTTTGTTTCACAAATGATGGCCAATCCTATAGTGAAGATCAATGCCACTGTATCATCTAAGGGAAATAAGTCTGTGACAGATGAATTAGGGTGTTGTGGTTTTTACTTTTTAATTAGCTCTTTTTTTGGAGGGGCTAAAATGGTTATTGGGTGGGGCTTTGGTAAGTCAGTGTCTGGGGGAGAAGAGCAGGAAATAACTGTCGCAAGAGTCGGTGGAAATGGGCCTCGTCTTAGCCTGTGGGGGAGGGGCAGTTGCCCCATATGTCAGAAAGGGACGTAGGACACGCTGGGCTCCAGGAGTGCTTGGAGGCTTTCTTCTAATTAAGGAGTTGGACGTGTGCGAATGGTACCGGTGAGACTGTTCATTGCTCCCGTGCTCAGGTTGTCCAGCGTGAGGAAGACTGGAGGAGGACCCAGCTGACCCTCAGGAGGGGATCAGGCAGGTACACTGCTGAATTGTCACAGGGTGACACTGTGTAGCTGGGAACGGGGAAGTCAGCCACGCTTATGGTCAAGTGGAAAAAAAAGCTAATGGAATCATTTAAATAGGATGACTGTGTTTACGAAGGAATTATATTTATATATACATAAAACGTGGGAAGAATGTATCCCACTGTGCAAAGTCTGTTACCTTTGAGTCATGGAATTAAAGGAGGCCTTCCCTTCCTATTGTTATTTCTTTTATTGTTTTTATATTGTTGTTATTTTCTTTTTAATGAGACTGTGTTGCTTATCCAGTCAGAAAAGGGAGCGGGGATGTGCGTTTTGAGAAAAAAACAGATGGGTGAGGAACTGCGGGACGCCGAGCTGGCTGACTTCGGCCGCATCACTTCCACGACTCAAGATGAATCGAGGGAATGGGAATTTTATTGCCTTCAGTGTGATGACCAACATTCAGCCCAGAGCATGCCTCTCAGGGGTCACCGAGTGCCGGAGCCCGGACGGGTGAACCGCATCCACTAAGAGCCGTCTTCTGTGCTAAGTGTGGGGATGCAGAGGGGACAGGAAGGCAGTCCCTGCCTCACCCACCACACGACCCTGAAGGTGATGGAGTACCACTGTGCAGGGCAGCTGTGCTCTAGGAAGCGATTGGAAAGGGAAGGTGGGAGCCTGGAAGGAGATGCTCTAGGAGGTGATGAGGGAGGGGAGTGGGGCCTGGAAGGAGGTGCTCTAGGACGTGATGAGGGAGGGGAGTGGGGCCTGGAAGGAGGTGTTCTAGGAGGTGATGAGGGAGGGGAGTGGGGCCTGGAAGGAGGTGTTCTAGGAGGTGATGAACCAGGGGCATGACTGCAGGGAGAGGAAAGTTCCCCTCCAGTGAGGGTGAAGATGAGATGGTCCCTGGGGAGGTGATGGACTGGGGAGCGGCTGGGCACCTGTCAGGCAGAGTGAGGAGCAGGGAGAGCACAGCATCGTAACAAAGTCATGTGCGTCTGGAGAATGACTGAGGGTTCAGTCGTGTGTGGCTTTGGGGGTACCCTGCTTCAGAAGCAGGCTGGCCTGCTGCTCAGGTGCATAGCCAGCCAGGTTGTCAGTCTGTCCTGTGACGCGTGGACACGTGTGATACATGCACGGGAGTGTATAGTAATAACGGCAATGTAGAGAAACAGACTCTTTTTTGGGTCTGGTGGAGGGATAGAGGTGGGTCTCTGGGGCTGGTTGGGCCCGTGGAAGGGCCTGGTCTCTCCTGGGGCAAGAGGCCAATGCCAAGCATCAGGAGCCACTGCCCGTTGGAGCAGGTGAGTGATGAGCCGTGTGTGCCGTTTAGACAGGGCCACCCCTTTGGAAAGTGGACCTGGATGCAGGTAGGGGGTCTGGGCCGAGAGAGCAGGTGGTGTCATTCTCCCGGGAGAGACCTTGAAGGATTGGTTCCTGGTGAGTCTGTGCTGCTGTGAGCCTGGGGGTGTGCAGGTGCTCGGTCTGAGGGTGGCCCTGAGGTGTGGGTTTGCAGATGGGAACTGAGGGGGCAGGGCCCACAGCGCCGGAGTCCCAGCCCCAGAGACCCCAGCGGTGACGTGTTCCTCGCAGAGGAGCGTGTAGGTGGAAGATCAGGTTTGGGGGAAACCGGCATGAGCTTAATTTTGGAAACGGGAAGTTTAAGGGGACCCATCTGGGTCTGTCAGGAGGCAGTTGGGTTAGTCTGGGACTGGAAAGAGGTCTGAGCTGCAAGGAGGACTCAGAACTGTCCCCGTGTGCGTGGATGGAACCTCCTGAGTGGCCAGGGGCGTGAGGAGGGACTGGGGCCGAGTACTCAGCCCTGGGAAGTCACGGCCAGGAAGAAGGGGTCCCCAGGGGGCTGTGGAGGAGCAGTCAGGAGGAGGTAACAGAGCAGAAGGAGGTGGCTGGGGAGGTGCCTGAAAAAGGGCCGTCAGCTGTCTGGGCCTGTCTGCCTGGAGCAAACTGTCGCTCCTCTGACTGTCATTTATCTCGAGTGGTTTCGCAGTGGGTGACGTACCGCTCAGTCTTTCTGTGAGGGAGAAATAGCCGAGCATGTTTTCATAGTTAGGGCCCAACTGCTGATCTTGATAGGAAAGTTTTAGAAAAGATTTCATATAACTGAAGAAATGGGTTCCTTTCATGCATGACACACCGATTAACACAATTAACAGATTAACACAATAATCTGGATTTCCCATGCTTGGTCCTGGTTCCTGCTGGTATTCAATCTTTTTCAAAATATAAAGAAATTTTTGTCTACATTTAAACAATATAGCATAAAAGCACGCATATAGCGTTTAGAGTGTATTTGCGGATTGAAAATGCCGTCGTCGTATGAGTCCTTTCTGTGTAAGAATGCCCCGTTGGTACCACTGACTCTTACTGAAATGTTGATGTTGGCTCTGCCTTTTCTGCTGGTCAAGGAGACATTTCTCCTGGTGACAATGATGTCCTTCCTGCTGCCCTTGCTCAGGTCCCTCAAAGACCCTCCAGTGCCCGCGGCCCACCCCGGGCCCTCTTCCCTTCCTGTATCTCTCATACGCAGAGAATCCTGCTGCAGACTTTTCTCTCTGTCCAGCTTGGTGCCCAGACCACTTGCTTCTCCCTCACGGACTAAGGTTCACATGCCTTCTTGGAAAGACCTGGAAGCAGTCAGCACCATGCGGGTAGTCTCAACTCTGTAGTAAGAACTCTATCAGGCCTGTAGTTAGACAGAAAAGACAGGGAAAGTGGGGCCCAAGTTCTTGATATTTTGGGGAAGAATGAAAAGGCAAAAGGTTAAAAAAAAATGGCCAAGTTCAAGTTTAAAAGCATTTGAGCTGAATGGCCCCCTTTCTGGATGGACCATGGTCAATGGAGGAAGGATGCCTCTCTTCTTGCTGTATCCGTCAGTGCCTTTTCCTCACTCCTCTCTCCATCTTCCCTGATCAGTGGTGACGGAACTGACGTGTGTAATGGCCCGGCTGGCGTGGAGGGCGCTGTGTTGGGAATTGTGGATTGTATGGGGCTTGACAATATACAGAGCCCTCACCACACTTGCCCACCCCACTACCCACGTCACAGGATGTGGGGGCTTTCTGGGGGCCCACGGGGGCTGAGCACTTTACCTGTTCAGTCTCCTGTATTCCTTGCACTCACCGTTTGCAAGGGAAGCTCAGAGGGACCATGTAATTTGCTGCTGCAGTTTGAGACAGAGCCGGGATTTGAACTCGGGTCTGGCCATCGCGGTACCCACCCGTCTCTGACCCACAGCGGTTTGTGCTGAGGGGTGGGTCTCTGCCGTCCGTGCTAACAGCCCAGGAACCGGGCTCCGGGAGGTTAATGACTTGCCTGAACGAAGGGCCTGAGACATTCCTAAAAGCCACTTCCAAGACGGTCCTTCCCGTCCTGAGCTGCTGGCTGAGAGGCTGTTCACATGACAGTGCACACTCGTGCTGTGTTTGTGGGTGCACAGGGGAGACGACGACAACGAAGGGTGGATGCTTAGACGGAAGGGCGGAGCAGAACAAGTGCCGCGCCGCTGTGGTAACTCGTATTGCTGCCTGTTTTAGGTTGCCCAGAGAAAGGGAGTCAAAAGTCTGTCTTCTCTCGATCCGGAGGTCCTGTCCGTTTTCGTGCCTCCGTTTGTCAGTAAGGAGGACGGTCAGACGACTGGTGCCAGCTGTGTGCTTCTAAGCAAACCCAGAAGGCGCTCCCTCAGGAAGAAGAGAGAGAAGCCCAAACCAGAGCCCTGGAAGGGCCTCCCGGGGGGCCCCAGAGAGCCCGACTCCGAAGACATCAGCATCCCCAATGGCGTGGACCTGCTCGCCCTGCCTCAGCTGTGCTTCCCAGGTATCCCCTTGCTTTCTTACCTCACCAGTGATCTGCTTCTAGACATCAGCGCACTTGAGGCTGTGGGACTCGGGGGGAGCCGGCGACCCTCACTGCATCTTCTGTCCTATCTCGGGATTGAGTTTTCTTGCTCTTGGGAGTTTCAACGCTAAAAGGAAGCCGAGATCACCTAGCGCAGTCCTCATTTTTTGGCAAACCGAGTCCCAGGGGAGAGGCTGCACGGTTTGTTTATGGTGCTTTCACAGGGTTTCAGTTGGATTGGAAGTCTCGTCTTCAGAGGCTTGGCAGACGGGTTGCCGCCCTGACCCCTTGGCCTGCAGCACTTCCACCCGAGTGTGCTCCCACCTGCCCCCTCCCTGTTCTCTGTGTCCTTTCGTTTTCTCCCCAACTGGCCAGTTCCTGGAAACAGCAGGCTTGTGTTTCTGGGCTTCAGTTTTTGCGAAATGTTAAAAGTGGGTGATGTCGAAAACTCAGACTAAGGACTTGACATAAAATTGCCTGTCTGATAGTTTCCATCGTGGAGTTGATACCGTTTCCTGGCCCCAGGGATTATAAACCAGGATAGGCAGGCACACCCACTTCCCCTGTGTGCCCGGGAGACAGCCATCGCCCCAGGCACCCTGAGGGTTTCTCTGCGGTCATCCATGTGTTCCTTCACACGTTCTTCAGAGCACACAGGGCTGGCAGAGGAATCGCTGCCCTTTGTGGGGGAGAGGGGGAGGGCTTGAGGCAGGAGGAGCGGGTTCAGAGCATGACGGGAAGAATTAGCACTTGGTGTCCAGGCGCCCCAGCCGACGGTGGAAGAGCCGTGCTCCGTACGCTGTGGCAGCTGGCTCGCGGATAGCCCAGGCCCTAAGGTGCATGACCCGTGGCCATAACGAGGTTTCTTCTTTTTTTTTTTCTGTCCACAGGGGGTGTGTGTGTGGCCTCTGAACCAAAGGAGGATTGTGTCCATTTTCTGGTGCTGACCGATGTCTGTGGGAATAGAACCTACGGTGTGGTAGCCCAATACTACCGGCCCCTGCACGTACGTGGCCCCATGACTTCCCTCTGAGGTTGGGTTTAGGTTTGGTTTTTTTTTTTTTTTTGAGGAAGATTAGCCCTGAGCTAACTGCTGCCAATCCTCCTCTTTTTGCTGAGGAAGACTGGCCCTGAGCTAACATCCGTGCTCATCTTCCTCTACTTTATATGTGGGACGCCTGCCAAAGCATGGCATGCCAAGCAGTGCCATGTCCGCACCCGGGATCCGAACCAGGGAACCCCGCAGAACGTGCGAACTTAACCTCTGTGCCACTGGGCCGGTCCCTAGGTTTAGGTATTTTTAAATTGTGATCAAATACACTTAACAGTCACCATTTTAACCATTTTAAAGTGAACAATTCAGTGGCATTTTGTACATTCACAACATTTGTTGTACAACTACCATTACTTTCTAGTTCCAAAACGTGTTTGTCAACCCCAAGGGAAACCCTGTACCCCTCACTAGTCACCCCCTAGTCCCCCTGCCCCCAGCCCTGGCCACCAGTCATCTGCTTTCTGTTTCTATGGACTTGCCTATTCAGGCCATTTCTTGTAAGTGGAATCATACAATACGTGTCCTTTCGTATCTGCCTTCTTTCACTTAGTATAATGTTGTCCAAGTTCACACAAGTTGGAGTATATGCCAGTGCTTCACTCCTTTTTGTGGCAGAATCATATTCCACGGTGTGTGTAAACCACATTCTGTTTGTCCGTTCCTGGCTGGTGGACATTTGGGTTGTTGCCGCCTTTCGAATATGCAGGGCACCTGGGTTTAGGTATGAGGGTAGATCAGTCGTCACACATTTGGGGAGTGTTTTCTGGGCAGGGCTGCTATGTGTGAACCAGCTGGCCTGGGACGAGCTCATAGGGGAAATGAGGGACCTGACGGTATGGAGTGGTCAGCTGCCTACTTCCGGGGGTTTCCAGAAGCAACAGGTAGCCTGGTGGGCTTTGTTTTCGTGTCCCGGTGCTTCACCAAGGGCAGTCAGTGACTTCCACACGGTAGAGGGAAGTGGCTGCCTGGATCACAACTCTGCCCTCTGCCCGAGACTGGGGCGGTTACTTTTATCGTTTTACTTTTTGGTGAGAGTCTCCTTATGTGGATTGCTGTAAGTGTCGAGAGGCATAGGATGTAATCAGATGGGCCCTGCCCCTCCTGCTTGTGGAGTAGGGCAGCTGGCCCAAACGACCTCTGGGGATGTGCAAGGGCCCAGCGCACCGCGTTATACCCTGAGTGCGCGACGTTTCGGTCCTGGCGAGCTTGTCTTCCCCTGTGTGCTGAGAGCTGCCCCGGGAGGCCACATCTCTCGGCCTACATGCAGGCTGTTGTCCCTGTGATTGTGGCGACACTCGGGGCCAGGGTCGGGAGGTGACACGTCGCTGTTGCTTCTTCTCCAGGACGAGCACTGTTTCTACAACGGCAAATCGCACTGGGAGCCGTGCAGACTGAGTGCAGCCGGCTGCTTCGTGCCCTTCGCGGTGTGCGTGGTCTCCAGGTTCCCGTACTACACGGCGCTCAAGGACTGCCTCTCCTGGTGAGCCTTGGCCCAGCCCTGCCTCAACGTCCCGCCTGGCGCCCGGGAGCACTGGCGGGCCAGGTTTGGCCCCATGAGCTCTTGTGAAAACCCAGATTTTTCTAGAAATGGTAACATATGGGAATGGTATGACAGAAAAAGGAAGATCAAGCTGAACTATCAGAAGTAAAATTAGTATGGAGGATTCATTTTTTTTTTTTTTTAAAGAGACATATATTAGGAAGAACTCTTGCTGGCTATTTGAGAAAATCAGGAGGCTGATATTCTGATGAGTTTTATTAACATTTTAAAAATTAGCTTTTTTGCGTAGAATCTTTAACTGTCTTAATGCTGATGTTGACTAGAAAATCTGAGGATGTAGAGAAATTTTGAAAAATCAAGAAAGCATTGCATCGAACCTGATCTGCTCCTGTTGTTGGGGGCTGTGACGTCCCCTGAGGAGGCCCCAGTGTAGACAGGACTCGCTTCCTCGGGGCACACAGGCACTGTGGGGCCGCTGTCTGGATTCTCCCTAAGTTATAGTCTTAGAACTTGTAGTTTGATTACAGACTGAGAAAAAAGCAGTTGACGCAGGTTCCCTTTCGTGTCGTCATGCAGAAGAACAACCCGGGGCAGATCTCTGAGTTTCTAGTAAAGGCTGAGCGTTTCAGACTGACACCTGGACCAGAGGGATGAGCAGATGGACACGTTGCCCGAACAGGAATCCTTGTGTTCACGCTAATGACCTTTGTCATTCAAATTCCAGCATGTTAATGTTTTATTTTTTAAAACAAGGCCTGTCTGCGGACATAGCCTGCATTTTATTGCCGTAGACATAAAATATCTTGTAGAACAGAGAGCTGACTTTTTATTCAAGCGTAGTGAGTTGAGCGTATGCGCATTTATTCAACATCCAGCTGCCAGGGCGCAGAAAGCGATAGGATGAGAAGTGGGGACGTGGTGCTGTTGTGTGTGGTTAACTGAGAAATCTTCGGTACTGGAAGGTAAATAGCTTCTAAACTAATCTTCAGTTTCCTCCCGTGTAAAATGGGGGAGTTATTCTCACCTTTTACTCAATGAAACGAAGGGTAAGGCCAACCAGTGTTGCATGACAGGCGGTCAGAAAGACAGCGCCCACCTGGCCTTCCCGGCCTTTGTCACACGTGTTTATTCAGCTGTTGACCTTTCATAGTGTGACTGGCAACAAACATTTCCTGCTAGACATGAATGCAAACGCGTATTTAACTTGCAAAAGGTGTTCGTTTTTCACTCTTCTCGAGTTTTCTCTCTTCCGTGGTCATTGCTAAATGATCAGAACTAGAAAATATAGCTAGAGAAGCACAAGTGACAGAAGTTCAAAAGGCAGTGTGTAAACATGACTTTATATGTTTTTTGACATCTGTGTTTTTGCTAGAGTGATACTATGCAAACCATGCCTCCGTGTGGACAAAATGTGGGAGAAAATATATTGAGCTGTGTTTGGGGAATTAGATTATGGGCAGTTTTTTTTCTTTCAAACTTCATGTCAATGCTATTATTTATTTAGAATGAAGACAAATAGGGAGGAATTATCTCCAAATCCTGACATTGGCTCCATGAGTTAATTATGTGTTACTTAAAGTAAACATATCAGGTCTTTGATTGCTGGACATGGCGTAGTCTCGTGCTGTGCTGGGGGCATCGTCAGGGTCCACATGGGAGGAGGGAAAGGCGGGGTGTCCTGGAGCAGCCTCTGTGACTGCCTGACCAGGTGGGACCCCGCTGGCCCCTCTCTTGGTTCCACGGCCACCTCTGGACTGGCATAGTGGCACGTGTGGTTCCCTAGCTGGGCTCATCCTTTTTCCCAGTCAAGACCCCCTCCTGAGGGCTGAGCTGCTTCTCTTTGACCTCCACGGTCACTGACCCCCGGGCCAGCCACATAGCAAATCGTCAAAAGTGTTTGTCGAGGGAATGAATAAAGCGCATGAGTGAACAAATGAGTTTGTCTATTAGAACACACGTTAGACTGTCCGTTTTTGTAATTTTTAGCAAAGCAGCATCCCCAGTGTGTGCCCATTTTGTGCATTTGTCCACATTAATGCGGACTTCCACATTTAAAGTTCACAGAGTCAGCTTCATTGAGGTGTAATTGACGTACAATAAAACCCACCCATTTTGAGTGTACAGCTGGCTGTTTTGCCAGATGTATACACCCAAGTAACCACCACTGCAATGAAGATATAGAATATTTTCATCACCCCCAGAAGTTCCTGCCCCCGATGGTCAATTCCCAGTCGCCCCACCCCCTGGTAACCGCTTATCCATGGTGTTGTTAAATCATGCGCCTCACAAGGCAGATGCGTTTTGGAAACAAACTTTCTCAAGCACTTTCCTTTGAAATGTTTACTCCTTATGAAGTATGGCACACACACAGAAAATGCACAAATTCCAGTGACCTTTTACAAACTGAACACGCTCGTGTAACCAGCACCCAGATCAAGAAACAGAACACGGCCGGCCCTCCACCCCCCAAACTGCCCCCGTGCCCCCTTCCGGGCACTTCCCCCACCCGGGGTAGCCATGCTCCTGTAGTCAGACACCCAGATTGTCCCCTGTTTGTGAAGAGTCCTGGAGTTGCTGATGCGGACCCTTACGGAGATTTTAGCTGTGATTAGAAATGCTGAGGATGACAGCGGACTCTCGTATTTATTTTGTGATTTTGATTTTTTTTTTTTAATTTTAGTTTATTGACTCATCTGAAGCTCTGTAAAGATTTTGAAGTCGACAATCACATAAAAGATTTTGCTGCAAAACTATCTTTAATACCTAGCCCGCCGCCGGGACCGCTCCATCTGGTAATTGAGTCTAGAATTATCTTCTATTTTTCCTTTGCAGATAGTAAAAGTAATATGATGAGGATGCTTTAAATGTTTCAAGTGATTCCTTAAGTTCCAGCTGTGATTAAATTATGCTCCTTAAATTCCTTACAGAAACATTTTCTATATTATTTCTAAAGGTCAAAAAATTAGAACTAAATTAGAAATTTATTTTCTAAAAGTTTAGAAGTAAAGTTTAGTCTTAAAGTCAAATATTTAGGTTTCAGTTTTGCTCATTGGCTCGTGATGAATAGGTATTGAGCTAGTAATAGCCGCTTATTAGTTAACATGTTAGTTCATTACTTGCTAAGCAGAAAACACATAAAATTTACTTATGTTACAAATTTCCCTTTGGTTTGTGTGGAATATTGAGTAATTTGTTAATGTTTTCCCCTGTCAGATGTGATCGATGAAAAGTAACTGGTTTTACATTGTTATTCACAATACCACTGTGTTATTTCATTAAGAGACGAGCATTTCACAGACCGGGTCCCGGGGAACCCAGTTCTGAGATGTTGTTGGCTGTTTCATGACACGAGGGTTTGCGGGTCGGGGAAGCTGGAGAAAGGCAGACCGCATCCCCTTTGTGTTGAGTAACATGTCAGGCAGCCAAGCTCTGTGATGAAACCTGTTTGACTCAGCGTTTTCCAAACTAATTGAACCATAGGATGCTTCCTTTTTTAAAAACAGACACCTCTTAAATAAGCATCTTGGAAGGTATAGTAAACGTTGAGTCCATTTCACTCTAATAGTCCCTTCTGGAAGCTTATACATATAAGTCTTGGTTTTTGACATTTTGATTATTATTGACAGTTGAAACATTCATTTTATTTATCAGGAGACGTGATTATGAACTTCAAATGTGTGTATTTAAGATCACCCTAAACCCAGGAGTCTGCTGGGGAAATCCTGCTGGTGCGTTCCGAAGCCGGAGCAGGCTGCCCGTCTGCCTTGGTTTCGCTCCCAGAAACCCGTGTAGGGAATATAGGTTGGGTACTTGTTTTGTGCAAGGTGCTCATCTTTATTCTGTGGATAATTGGTATTTTTTTTTATTGTGCAGTAAAACCATCAAAGTTTCTGTTCTTGTTCAATAACTCAACAAGCAGTCATTGAGGACCCTCCACAGCGGTGAACGAGGCTCTCTGAGTTCAGAACAGAATTAGGGTTAACTGTAATTATTGTGGTCTGCCTGTGAACACAAGTCATGGGTCAATAGTACTTACACCGACTTTCTGTATCATAGACTGTTGGATTAATTAATATTTGGTTTCTCTATTTCTGCCACCTGCAGTGAGAAAGTTTACTGGGGGTCGTTCTTGACACCTCTTCACCCCTCGTTCACTCTGTCACACCTGAGCAGCCTGCCTCCAATGTTTGTTTCCAGTTTGCCCACTTCTACTGCCACCACCCCATTCTGGGCCACCAGCTTGTCTCACCTACACAACTTGGGGAACCACTGGTCTGTCCACTTCCATTCCTGACCCTTCATCCAGTTCATCCTCTGCACAGTGGCTGGAGAGATCATTAAAGTCTAATTGGACCCCACAATGGTTTTGCACTATGTGCCTTCACCAGTCCTGCATCCCTGGCCCCTGTGTCACTGTGGAGCTCTGTGTTATTCACTCACCCCCTTCTCACTGTTCCCCAGCTACACTGGGCTTCTGGCAGTCTTTTGTAGGTGCTGCCACAGGGCTCTTGCACGGGCTGTTCCCGGAAGTACCACTATCTCCATTTTCTCATGGCCAGCTCCTGCTCATCTCTCAGGTCGTGGCTCAGATGTTGGTTCTGAGCCGTCTCCCACCCCATCTCTCTCGCAGTGCCCAGCTTTCTTCCTGCAGAGCTCAGCACAGTCTGCAATTAGGGCTTGTGTGCATGTGTTTTTTATTTAATGTCTATCTTATCCATTGGACTCTGAGCTGCATGGAGACAGAGGCCATGTTCAGAACTGCATATCCAGGGCTTTCTGCCATGCCCAGCACTAGCTATTCCACAGACGGCTGTTCAGTGAATGAATAAAGCGTGAGCCGTGTTTCAGTATTAGCCAGTAGTGTTCATTGAATCGGATCTGCATCTTGGGTCGCATGCGTTAGTCTGAATGAGCTGAGTTAGCGTGGGTCAGGCTTGTCACTGTGACCCTCCGTTAACAAGTCTGATTAGCTACAGGGTCCAAGTTGATGTAATGGTCATCATCACTTTCAGAGAATGTCGTGTAAGAGTGGCTGTTCATTCTTTTGAAGAAATCTGGGAGGCCAATTTAGGCCAATTTCATCCATATAGGAGCCAAGTCAGCAGTATTTTCCAGAATCCACTGCAGTCAATTTAGAGACTGTCATGGATAGCAGTCCTGGGCCGCAGTTCTTATGTTTCGAATAGCGTGTGCGTGCGCCAGGCTGCAGGTTCCCGTGGCTTCTGGGCCTGGGCATCTCTGATCCCTGAAAGGAGGCCCCAAGCTCGGGAGTGGGGAGCGAGGACCCAGCCTCCTCCCGTCCCAGTTCAGCGCCCTTTTGCTGACGGCGCCTGGACCGCCAGCCCGAGGAGAGCACAGATGTTAGGAGCGCCCGCGTCCCCGGGCCCGGTCTGCTGCTTCTCTGCCCACCAGTGGGTCTGATTCTACTTGCTTTTGAAGTCCTGGGCATAACTGGGTGCGCACAACGAAACATATGTATGTTTCCTGAGTCACTTTGTGTTGCTTTGTACGTGAAACGTGTTATTTTTCTGGGGCTCCAAGCAAGTTGAAATTTGGAAAATATTTACCTAAAACCTCTCTCCCTCCTCAGTTCCTTCATCTGTAAAGTGGGCAGAATAATAGAACCCACCTCAGAGGGTCTGAGTCTTAAGTGCTGGAAAGTCGCTGGCGCTGCACCCGAGAGGTCCCGGGGCCAAACGACGTCACGGGGAGAATGACCAGCGTACGCATTTGGGTTTTATCTGTAACTGAGTGGCTGGCTGACACATTTATTTTTTGAAATGTTGAGAATTTTTCATACAAATTTTACAATTTTTAATAATCCATCACAACTTGGAGTATTAACGCTGGTTTATTTTATTTTGTTTTGTTTTAAATACGAAGGAGGTTATTGGTCACCTAAGTGAATCTGCCGTGTTTTGCTGTGTCTTGCTTCTATAGACAAACTGGGAACAAGAAAGCAGAGAGGCCCCAGGTGTGGTTCTGGGGCACTGGCAAATGTCCTGACCGTCAGAAATTACAGTCCTTTCTTGTTTTCAGGTTTGTTGTGGTTTTTTTTGCATGAAAGATACTTAGAATAGTGACTACAGGGACTGTAATTAAGTGTGAACGGTGAACATTTCATTCTGGGGCCTTTTTTCTCAACCCCGTACTCTGCTTCTCTCGATTTGTCCTCCTCCCACGTTTTTCCTTGAGGAAGCCTCTCCATCGTCAGATCTGATTGCTTCTTTCCTTTCTGTCTCTCCGGGGCTTGGCTGAAACTTGGCTCATTTAATGGAGCTGCAGAGGTGGGGCAGCGTCCCAGGTGGCTCCCGCCGTGGGGGCTGTAGGCTTGCCGTGCACAGCTCTGTCTCCTCGGACAGCTGGCCAGCCCCTACGTGGAGGGGACCAAATCTTCCCCTTCGTGCCCACCCCAACCGTTAACACATAATGGGCTTTCTGCGAACACAGAGCTTGAATTGAAGTCTTATTTAAAAAAATAGTATTTTGAAATATGAAGTATCTCAGAATTTTTTTGAAGTACGTGTCTTTAAGGAGCTTTGACTATTGACAATACTAAGAATACATAATAAGTAGTAGCTAAGAATAATGTAGCATCGTGAAGGGTAATTGGAACGTGCTTGGTTTAGAATTTGTGCTAATTGGGACAGATATCTGGGTGGCGGCCTATCTTTGTTTTGCCAATGAACAGTTTGCTAATTAATGAAAGCGTTTAAAGAGAGTTTGGCTGAAAAAGACCTTAAGTACCCAATTTATGTATGAGCGAATATCGGAGTTCTGTATATCTCTAGACAGTTTGCTATTCTGTGACATATAAGGTGACAGCATGAGTCTTCAAAGATGTGTCCTAACGCAGATGCTTTCTGAGCCACAATAGTGACTTTGAGTGCATTTCGGCCTCGGCTGGGAGCAGCTCTCTGAACTCTTGATGGAAATTGGTCGTTGCAGGTATTTAACATGAAGCCGCTACAGATTGTGTTTCCCTCCCGAGCGGACCCTGACAGCCTGCTCATCGACCTGGACCTTCACCTGCCCTTGCTGCGCTTCAGGCCCGAGAGGGTGCTGCAGGTACGCTCCTCTCCACCCGGAGAGCGTGCCTGATCCTCCTCACGGGCGTCAGAACGACAGTCGTATGGAAAATGCTCAAGGGCAAGTGTATTCCATGGCGCACAGAATCCATGCTTTTTTTGCTTAAAACCGACATTCACTACGGTGCACGCTGCTTGCAAATAGCACTTTTGGCAGGGGCCGAGTGGCTTTTGTTTTGACGAGCGGAGCAGGAAACCAGGGTGAAACCTGTCCTCGTCTGGTCCTGTTGGGTGGCGTGTTGAGTGTGTGACGTTGACGTGCCGGGTTGGGAGCGTGACCTGGTGGTGTCGATTCCCCCAGATCCTGAGCTGCCTTCTCACCGAGCAGCGGATTGTGTTCTTCTCCTCCAACTGGGCTCTGCTCACGCTCATCACCGAGTGCTTCATGGCCTACCTCCACCCACTGCAGTGGCAGCACACGTTCGTGCCCATCCTCTCTGGCCAGATGCTGGATTTTGTCATGGCTCCTACATCGTTTCTCATGGGCTGCCACCTCGACCACTTCGCAGAAGTCAGCAAGGTTAGGTATTGAGCATTTGATTGGTTGAGATATGTGTGCGTATGTATTTCCCTGGTATGTTTATTTTCCCACTGTGTTTGTTTTCTCCTGCTGCGTTACACACTCCCAGAGACTCAGTGACTTAAAACACCACCTTTTATTATCTCACAGTAAATCAAGGTGTTGGCCGGGCTGGCTCTTATCTGGAGGCTCGGGACAAGAATCCGCTTCTAAGCTCATTGTTGTTGGCAGATCCCGGTTCCTGTGGCTGTGGGTGTGAGGTCCCTGTGTCCTTGCCGGCTGCTTGGGGGGGTGTGCCCTCTGCTCCTCGAGGCTGCCCGCGTTCCTTCTCATGCGGCCGGCAGTGGCGCGTCAAGTTACCCTTGCACTTCAGATCTCTCTGGCTTCCCCTTCTGCCACTAGCTGGAGAAAGTTCTCTGCTTTTAAGGGCTCATGTGACTATACTGGGCCTGCCTGGATGATCTCCCCCTTTTCAGATCACCTGTGTCATATCACAGCATAATCATGGGGGTGACGTCTCGTCTCATTCGCGGGGTCCAGGGGTTAGGGGTGTGGAATCTAGGGAGGCTATTTTTAGACTTCTGCCACCACTCCCACTTTTTGACATGACTCATTTATTTTTGGCGGGGTCACATTGTTTTATAACATCATATCAGTTTCAGGTGTACATCATTATCATTTCAGCTTCTGTATAGACGGCATCGCGTTTACCACCGAAAGTCGAGTTGCCACCCATCACCATACACATATGCCCCTTTCACCGTCCCCCACCTCCTTCCCCTCTGATAGCCACCAATCTGTTCTCCATATCTGTGTGTTTGTTTATCTTCTACGTATGTGTGAAGTCATATGATAGTTGTCTTTCTCTATCTGACTGACTTCGTTTAGCATGATATCCTCAAGGTCTGTCCATGTTGTAGCAGATGGAATATTTTGTCTCTTTTTATGACTGAGTAGTATTCCTTTGTGTGTGTATATATATATACACACACACACACACACACACCCCACCTCTTCTTTATCCATTCATCCATTGATGGGCACTTTGGTTGCTTCCAAGACTTGGCTATTGTGAACAATGCCGCAGTGAATGTAGGGGTGCATGTATCTTTTTGAATTACTGTTTTCATGTTCTTTGAAGAGGATGTGGGGGAAAAAGGAACCCTCGTACACTGCCGGGGAGAATGTAATTTAGTGCAGCCACTATGGAAGACAGGATGGAGATTTCTCAAAAAATTAAAAAAAGAAATACCCTATGATCCAGCTGTTCCACTCTGGGTGTTTATCGACCATTTGATTTAGAATATTAAATCCTTGCGAGCTCCTTCTGAGGACTTGTGGGAAGTTGCTTTGAAAGTGCCCTGAAGTGAGGGCCAAGCACCCTGGGCCGCAGAGAGGTCGTGATCACTTCCAGCTCTTGTGCACTGGGCGCCACACTCACGGCGTACCATCTCGTGTGTCCTCACACCATCCCCCTGTGGCCTCGGGGTGCATTCAAGGCCATGGTGCTCTGTGCCTTGGATCACTTCTCGGTCTACCGCACAGCAGCTTCTCAGGCTCCACGTGGGTTTTCCAGTGAGGAGAGTGCAGGCTTTGGAGTCAGTGAAACCTGATTTTAAGTCTCAGCTCTGCTGCTTGCTCGTTTTGTGACCCCGAGTGAGTGAGTTGCTGTTGCTAAGCCCCAGCTTCCTCATCTGTGACGTGGGGCAAGGACACATCCTTCAAGGCGGGGTTCCGCCTGAGGGACATTCTGCACCCACCCAGCACCTGGCACATGACGGGGTCTTGATAGATGATAGCTGCCATTGTTATTGCTCCATGTTTTCCATTGTTATTTTTTTTGATTAACCTTCTGTTGTTCGTTAATACTGTGGACACAGAAAATGCCCACACGTGCCGCATGTGGCTCAGTGGTAGTGGGGTGTGTGGGCCTTGCTGAGTTTGGTGGCCGTCTGCTCGCTGAGTGACTGACCTGTGACAGAGCGTTGAACTCTCTGGTGTCCTAGTCACACAAGGACGGTAGGCATGCTGGCCTGTGGTTACGATGAGGATCCGTGAAGTCAGTGCAGCAGTGCCTGGCATGCAGCAGGTGCTCAATACGTGCTAGCTGTTTTTCCTGTTGACCGGAGATGGCACACATTGGGCTGGTGAGTTAAGGTCACAGGCCCGTGATAAATACAGTGATATTGCCACCAGCCAGAGTGAGTTTGGTTTTTTAAGACCGCTTTCTTCAGATACAATGTACATACTACAAAGTTTATCTGATTAAAATGTACAATTCAGTGGCTTTTGCTAAGTTTATAGAGTTGTGCCAACTGACTTTAGACATTTTCGTCGCCCCACAAGGAAACCCTGCGTGCGTTAGCAGTCACCCCCATTCTGCCCCCACCAGCCCCCGGCAGCCTCTGTCTGCTTCCTGTCTCTGTGGCTTTGCCTGGGCCACGTACGTGGCTTTCTGTAAGTGGAGTCATCTGACATGTGGCCTTTGTGCCTGGCTTCTTTCACCAGCACAGCGTTCGCTGAGGTTTATCCACGTGGCAGTGGGTACAGGGCGTCGTTTTCATGGGCGGATAGGATTCCATCATGGGAAGATACTGCGGTGTGTTTGTCCATTTTTCAGCTGACGCTCCTTCGGGTTGTTCCTACCTTGGCCCTTACGAGCAGTGCGCTGTGAACTTTCACACGGAAGTCTGTGTGTGGACGTAAGTAAGTTTGCACCTGCCTTAGGTAGGTTCCTAGCACTGGAGTGGCCGGGTCAGACGGTGACTACGTTTAACTGCTTGAGAAATGGCCACACTGCTCTGTGCGCTCCCTGCCCGTTTCCTGTTCCCACTCACCACGGAGGAGAGTTTTGGTTTCTCCACCTCCTCACCAACACTTGTCGGTATCTATCTTTTTGATTCTACCCATCCTGGTGGGTGCGAACTGGTGTCTCATGGTGGTTTCGATGTGCAATTCCCCAGTGACTGACGATGTTGATCACCTTTTCATGTGCTTATTGGCAATTGGTACCGGGTAGGTTTTCATTCACCTTTTTATTTTGAAAATTTGTAAGTGAGCACAAAAACAGAGAGAGGAGTAGGATGGATGCTGTGCACCCCTGCGGCTTCAGCAGTCGTCAGGAGCGGCCCCACTGCCCTGCTGTTCCCTGGAGCTTTTCAGGGCAAATTCTGGGAAGGCAGTAGGCTGTGCTGGGCCCAGGGCCCCTCCGCGGGAGGAGCCGGTGTCTCTGTTCTTGCCAAAGCGAGTGACTCACCAGGGGACAAACACACTTTGGGAAAAGGCCATTCGGACCTTCATGGAAGAAACGGAAAAACGTCACTCAGTCCACCTTGCAAATGAGAAAAAAACAGGCCATGCTCTGAAGTCTAAAGTTATGTTTCTTTTTTTAGTCATTAGGGAAAAAACCGTCTTCTCTCAGACCCTTCAGAAGGGAAACATTTGGGCGTGTTTACTTAACAATTCCCGGCAGCAGTCGTGAAGGAATGCCTTTTAGTGACTGACCCGTTCTGGCAGATTTCAGGTCCTAACTGAGGGCATGTTGGGGTGTGAATGTTGTCCGTGGTGCCGGGAGCTCGGAAGCTGCTGCACCATGACGAGCAGATGCTCGGCGTTCACGTTTATGGAGGGCGAGGCTGTTCCCTCGCCGGGTCGGTACTGGCTCTGCTGCCCTGAAGACTTGGTTTGTGCACAGTGCACGCAACATCGGACCCGGCATGCAAGCTGGGAGCGGGCACCTTCCGAGAGATTCAGCGTCACATTCCAGGGGCTGTTGAATTGCAGAACTCCAGTGCGAGTGTGACTCATTATTGGTGTGTTTTCCTGAAGATAAGACTTTTCAAGTCAACCATATACATATTTCAAAAGTTCTAAGTGTGTGTGGTCACTGAGCCCAGGACCCCACCCACGCTCTGAGGGGAGGGCTAGCTGGGCTGCTAAACTGACACATTGGGTGTTGAACGTCAGTGTGGCTCTCATCGGTTCTGGAATGTTCTCTCCAGGCTCCCTGAAGTAGTACATGCAGTGTTTGTATAAGGTAGGTGAGAGCCTGAAACTTGTGTTGGAATCTTGGCTCAAAGACGGAGGCATATTGAATCAAATTAGCGCGTTAATGTAACTCATGGTATACACTGCATTTTTCAGTAGAGATAATATAAGACTGTGTACATATTAAATAGGGTAATCTAATTAATGTTGACACTGAATGCAAAATGTATTTTTGTGTTTTCAAAGATGTATACAGATTCAGATTCTTACAGCAATCTTTACAACTTCTAGGAAGCTGATGGTTTAATTCTGATAAATATCGATAATGGGAGCATCACCTACTCCAGTGACGATGGCATTGACGTTCCCGACATCCCTCTCCTGGCGGCTCAGACGTTTATGCAGAGGTAAAGTTGGAAATAGTATGTGTTTGAAAGCATCTCTGTTCGGGTTCTATACTTGCCAATTCTGAGTATCTTTTCCAATCTTATATTACTGATAGATGTTTTATGTGTTTATAGTTTGGAAATTATTTATGAATATTTTAAAAGTCATTTGTCTTTATTCTCATCTTGCCTAAATAGTCATTATGGCCCTGCAGAATCAGGTGACAGTCACCTCCCCCGGGAAGCCTCGCTCGCCCTCTGTCCTGTGCCCCAGGGTCCTGTGCCTGTGGTCTTTGGAGTCCCTTCTTGTTCACTCGCTCACTCTCTCACTACACGTGTGTCCAGTGCCCCTCATAGGCCTCACCTCGGGCAGGATGTATGTACTATCGAGCAAAACAGACGTGGCTGGTCCTGTGGCGCTGGATCACGGCTGTTGATGGTTTTTTCCATCTCTCCTACCAAAGCTCATTGGGCTAGATCAGGCATCAGCAAACTTCTTCCAAAAAGGGCCAACTCATAAATGTTTTAGGCTTTGCAGGCCCTGTGGCGTCTGTTGCTCTGTGGAGAGGTTCGGTGGGGACGCTCTTACATGTGCTTCTTCTGGGGAGAGTGAGAGGGCTGTGGTTATAATTATCCAGGACGAAGGTGCATCCTGGTATGTCCAGCCACCCTGGGCGAGACCCAGGGGACAGGGCCGGGCAGACGCCAGCGGGTCATCACCGGGCTTCCTCCGGTTGTTCTGTGGGGCTCTTTTTTTTTCCCTTGGAATCTAATAAAATGGTAGCAGGAGAGATCCCGCCTTTAGTCCTCCCAGCCTGCAGGACAGACTGCAGTCAGACCTTGCGTGGGACTCGAGAAGTGACACGTGGTGCTGCTGGGCGACAGGGAGTAAGTGTAGCATCAGCTCTGTGGGTTCTTTGCAGGCAGCCGGGCCGTGCAGTGTCGAGACGCCGGTGATGCAGTTTCTGTTAAATCGGTGGTGCCTGGTTTCCCCTTTATTTTGTCTGTTTGTTGGGAGATCAGATGGGGGACAAGCAAGCGGGTGGTGTGTCTTGGCCTCCCCAGCTCAGCTTTTCTCCTTTCTTACCTGTGTATTAGTCAGCTCCATCTGCTATAACAAATGCCACTCAAGCAGCAGACATTAACTCTCTCCGTCCTGGAGGCTGGAAGTCTGAGACCAAGGCGTCGGCAGGGCTGGTTCCTCCTGAGGCCTCCCTTCTTGGTGTGTCGACGGCGTCTCCTCCCTATGTCCTCATGTGGTCGTCCCTCTGTGTGTGTCTGGGTCCTGATCTCCTCTTTTCATAAGGACACCAGTCAGACTGGGTCAGGGCCGCCCTGTGACCTCGTTTTACTTTAATCCCCTCTGTAAAGGCCCTCTCTCCTAATACAGTCACATTCTGAGGAACTAGGGGTTAGAACTCTAACATATAGATTTCGGGGGACCCAATTCAGCCCATAACACTCGGTATCAATTATTACTTCTACCTTGATGGTTTCTGCAAAATATACAGGAGTGCCACCTTTATCATTGTTCCTTCCATCTTAACAAGCTGGCCCGGTGGCATAGTGGTTGCGTTCATGCACTCTACTTTGGCAGCCCAGGGTTTGTGGGTTTGGATCCCGGGCACAGAGCTACATGCTGCTCATCAAGCCATGCTGTGGCAGTGTCCCACATGCAAAATAGAGGAAGATTGGCAACAAGTGTTAGCTCAGGGCCAGTCTTCCTCACCAAAAACAGAGAAACAAACAAACGAATGAAACTTTTAGGAGGCCTGCAGGCAGAGCGCAGGTGGAGTGCGTGTCCTCCTGTGGCTGTGAGCGTGGAGTCCCCAAGGGCTCTCCTGTGGCTGACTGCTTTGTGCTCCGGGTTCTCTATGTGAACCTGGAAGGTGAAACCCACATTCCTTACCGTCTGTTTACTTTCTGATAAGCCGAAGCTGCTGTCCCCTGCCTTTCAGAGGGTGACATGCCAGGGCTGACCTTTGCTGCCATTTGGAGGCGATGCCCATGTGTTCACTTTGGCAGAGTGTCCCCAGTAAGACGGGATTCCTTCCTCTGTCTGCGTGTGGTTGTTAGAATTCTAGAATGTACACCGAGGGTTGGATTCCTGGACCCCAAAGCAGTGGGATGTGCTGCCTCTTACGATCTCACCACAGGGCGCCGTGTTTTATAAATGTGAACTAACCCGTGTGCAGTTGGCGGCATGCTGCACAGACCGTGAACCTGGCGGTCAGTCTCCCACGGGGTTCCGGAGTGCCAGTGTGTCCACATGCGGTGTTTGCCTGGGAGGAACAAGAGGCAGGCACTCCTCTCCCCGAGACGCCCTGCTCCTAGTGGCCCTCTCTGCCCCACCGCTGTCTCCCTCCCCTTGCTCGGAAGTGTGTTTGCCCATCTTCCCTGCCCCGCCTGACCTCCTCGGGGACAGGGAGAGGGACCCCCAGCCCTCTTGGGGGGCGGTCAGCTCAGGGCTGTGCTGGCTGAGAGCCTGGGAGAGAGGAAAGGAGGGCTCCGGGGGAGGGGCCAGCCTTGTCCTGCCATGACGGATTGTCCCCACGCAGAAACTGGGGAGACTCTGCTGTAGGCAGCGCTGTGGCGTTATACGGGAGAGTCTGAAGCGCCATTCCCCGTGGCGTCCTGTGTTCTGCTGGGTGCACAGCCACCTGGCACAGACAGACAGCCACATCAGAGTGACTCACACTCCATCCTGGCGGGGTGGTGACCTGATGCAACGGCCGGGCTCAGCCAGGGCGGAAACGTCCTGTCTCCAGCAGCAGTTTCCCATGACCTGTGGGGTAAAGGCTGTGCCAGCCCTCAGACCCGGGCTCACCTCCCCTGGCCCTCATACTGGAGCCACGCTGGGCCCAGCAAGCCCCCTGCACCTGTGTAGGGCCTTCGGCGGCTGCCTGCCCCGCTGTCAGCTCACGGCCTTTCACCTTTCCGGTCCAGGGCCCTTGGAGAGGTCTCCTCCAGCCACCCAAACAGGCCATTTCCTGGCCATCACTCTATTTGGAGTCCCTGCTTCATATCCCCGTTACCTCATACTTTGTGATGCCTTTACCTGTTTTTCTGTTTCTTCTCACCTGAATGTAAGCCCCACATGAGGACTCTGCCCGTGTCCACCAGTGACCTGCACCCCCCCGCCATGGTGCCGGGTGTGTAGTCCCTTCCTGGTGGTTTCCAAAGTCGCATCTGGAAGCACAGCCTTGGGTCGTTGGGGAGGCCAGGGTCGAGTTTGAGGGCGGCACACAGACACAGAGATAGCTGTGCGTCCTCTGGGTCCTCCAGACCAGAGAGTGGCCGTCCCCTGCTGGGCCGAGAGTGGTGACACACAGGACGTTTGGTGCCTCCGAGCCTGCCCGGGCAGGGCGTGGGACAGGAAGCTGCCCGGTTGCCACACTGTCCCTCCCAGGATGCCCCAAGCCAGCAGGCAAGGGGGCGGCCTGAGCTGGAGACCCTTTGGCCGTCCTGGAAGGGGAGCGTGTGCCCTCGCCAGGCAGAGCATGGGGGACGGAATGGTTCAGCTCGGATAAAAATGTGCATGGTCCAAAGTCAAGGTCTTTGGGAGTTCTGCCCTAATTAGCTTTTTATGTTGGGAGCTGAATAAACTCTTCCAGGGGTATATTTTTAATGACCCCCCTAGAAGTTACTGATGGGTATTGTGAGCATCCTAAAAGTGTTAACGTACCTGGCAAGAGCGAGCCCCCTTCCTGGGGAGTTCTCCACTGCCAGTGAACAGTGGTCAGGCGGGGAAGCATGAGCCGTGGCCAGCGTCCGTCTGCTCCTCTCCAGGGTCCAGAGCCTTCAGCTGCATCACGAGCTGGACCTCGCTCACCTGGGCTCCATCACAGACCTGAATGAGGGGCGAGCCTGCAGGCGGGCCTGGCAGCAGACACTCAACCGCCAGATCCAGCAGATGACCCTGCAGCTGCTCGTCAGCATCTTCAGGTATTTAGAAAACATTTCCAGTGTCTGTAAAGGGTACCCAGCCAGCTCTCGGTTCCATGATGGCAGTGGCCCCCAAAGCTCAGGTCGCTGAAATTGACGATGGCCTCGTGAGAGAGGCCCCCGCCCCCACTCCACCCCCACCTCTCCTGCAAGTGACCACCTGCGGATGCTTGTGCTGGCTGCGGGCGCAGGGTCAGTCCAGCGTGGGGGACAGAAGGATCACTTCGGGAACGATGCCCACCCAAAGGAGAGCCGCCAGGCTGGAGCACTCAGGCTTCGCCCCTGCTGGAGAGCTTTCTCCTTTCTCTTCCTTCCTGTCATGCCGTCCTCAGCCGTCTCTTGCACGCTGTTGGGCACTAGCGCCTGAGCGAGGCTCGGTTAAGTAACTAGTGAAGCATGTTGATTTTGGCGTGCTATGGTCCGGGGCGTGGGTCGCTGTTTCTGGCCTGACTATGGGGTCGTTTCAGGAGTGTGTGATGAAGTTGTGTCTCCATTACACCACAGCTTTGTGAAGGAGTTATTTTTAGTGGAGAAGCCTTCAGGCCTTTTCTCTCTCGGGGCTCTTTCCTTTTGTCAGCGGGGGCTCTCTCTTCTCTCCTCTCCAGGCCGAGCGAGGGAAGGTGACGGCAGGGACCCTCCACCTGGGTGGGGTCTAGACCAGAGCTTGCAGACTGGACAGTACTCCGTGTGGTTATTTCAAAACCGGCATGTTAATGGCCATGTTGTTTTGATGTATATATTTGTATGAAGCAAATAATGTATTATGAAAAAAACGGGACAGTGTATTATGAACGGATTATGTGATCTCTTTGCTGAGAGCATAACTTGTGTGATCGTAGATCTGTTGTTTTCCTTTTGTTCTTTTAAGACCAAGTCTTTAATGAACGAGATTTTTTTGGTAATCTTTCACAAGCTTCGTGAGTTCATCCAAAGCAGGAAACATGATTCCAGATTATCAAACTCTATTTCCCTAGATGAAATAATCTTTCCTCCCCGATGGAAGGAACGGTGAACGTCCTACGTGTGGACGTGCCGTCCGGCCATGGAGTCCACTTGTCGAGCCTTGCTTTAGATCTGGGAGGTCAGCTGCCAGGTCCCCAGGGATTTATAGACAAGGAAGTGGGGCCCAGAGGTGAGCTGGCCTGTGGGGTCGGGCTGACGGCCAGTGGGGTGAGCGCTCGGAGTCGGGCGGCCCCTCCCGTGTCACTGCTCTGAACTCAGTTTGTTTGTGGGAGTGCGTACAGGTTATTGCGTCTTCATTGCCACGAGGACCTGGCTTGAAGGAGGAGACCGTGACCTTCCTCCTGGAGCTTCATTCCAGGTGGAGGGAGAAGCGGTGCTCCAGGTAACGCACAGTGTGTCCGAGCCGTGTCGTTCTGGGGTCAGAACGACCTGCAGAACGGGGCCTTCCAAAGCGTGCGTTCTCTCGTGGGTTTTCTGCTTCTGATAGCGAGGTGTTTTCCATGTATTTAAAAATGCTTCAGCACGGGGACTGTCTTTCTCTTGGTCAGGGAAGTGAAGAATCACTTGAATTACGAACATCGAGTGTTTAACAGTGAAGAGTTCCTCAAGACCAGAGCTCCAGGGGACCAGGAGTTCTATAAACAGGTAAGGCTGGTGGGGGGAGGAGTGTATTTGTCTGTGTGTGTTCCGTCTTTTATTAAGTGTAATAGCTTTTTTTTTTTTTTGGAGGAAGATTAGCCCTGAGCTAACATCTGCTGCCAATCCTCCTCTTTTTGCTGAGGAAGACTGGCCCTCAGCTAACATTCATGCCCGTCTTCCTCCACTTTATATGTGGGACGCCTGCCACAGCGTGGCTTGCCAAGCGGTGGCCTGGCTACCTCCACCACCTGTGGGCAGAGCACGGGCCACTCCTTTTCCCCCTGCAGGCTGGCAACAGCCATTGCATTCTCCATTCTCTTGCCATCGCTCCCTCCCTCCCCTCGCTTTCTAAAGTTTGGTTTGGCCCTGTGGCCTCTGTGTGTTCTTGATTGTTCTGTGGCTCGTGCAAGTGCAGTGCTGTCTGAATGGCTGCTGTGAGGACTCTTGGTAACCTGCTGTCCCCTTCACACCTCCCCGGGGGTGAGGGCCCCGCCATGTGCCAGCACCATGGGCTGCTGCCAGTAGGCGCCCCTGGAGGAAGGGCGTGGCAGAGGAGCCCAGGGAGCCCGCAGAGGGGCTCCAAGGGAAGCCTGGAACTCGCCGCATGGCCGCTGCATAGTCGTGACGGCCTGCAGGGGTCCGGAGGAGCCCCAGGAGCTCCCCGCAGCCCGCCAACCCCCCAGGGACTCCCATCTCGGTGCCCCTCTCTGTAGAAGGGGCCTCCCACCTACCCTCTGTGGCCAGTCCCTTCCTTCGTGTTTCTGCGGGCCTTTTGCACATGAGGTTCCAGCCCCCTCTTTGAGCCTGGGCCCCCGGAGGGGCTGTGGCCACTTGGCCCCCTCTCCTCGCCTGGGGTGTGCACGGCCTCATCCTCTCCAGGCCGCTCGCCCATGGGCCCACGGTCAGCAGAGCAGGGGTCATGGGGACAACGAGCCAGCTGTTGGAGGGTCTCGTTCTATACTGAGAGCCGGCAGCCGTGGTGGCGGGAGCCGAGCACAGGCCGGGACCGCAGCGGGAGGGCAGACGGCGCTGGCTGGGAGGTACGGGGCTGGGGCGGGGCCGCGGGGCTGGGACCCCAGAACCTGTGCCAAGCTCGGAGGCTGGGGCTGTCGCTGCCGTGGGCGCGAGGTGGTTTGGGTGTTTGAGCTCTGAGATTTTCCAATGCGAAGAGTGGCCCGTTCTCAGGCCTGCTGGCGAGGAACTGAGGGCCAGCCTTATAGTAGGTTATGGTGAACTGGGGAAGCCACCTGTGTTAGGAACTCGCACCCGGAGGAGCTGGGTGTGGTGAGAGGCTTTGGGGGCTCGGGGAAGGGAGCCTCAGGCGGCTGCCGCGGGCGCCCTGGACCCCTGAGAAGAGAGGAGCGCAGGCGCGTGACAGTGACCTGCATTCACGGCCTCTTTCAGGTTCTGGAGACCTACATGTTTCATTCTTTCCTCAAAGCCCGGCTCAGCAGGAGGCTGGACGCCTTCGCTCAGATGGACCTTAGCACGCAGTCGGAAGAAGACAGGTACCCTCGTCAGCGCGTCCTGGATGCTCGGCTCTGGGGGGATCCAGGTGCTCACGTAGCATGGTTTTGTCTGGACGGACAAACGATAAATTCAGTCGGAAAAGTCTCGGTTAGAAATGCGTGATGACTGGGTAACGGGCTCCCCTCCGTGGTCCGTGTCTTTCTGTCTCGGGGATTCTCTGACCGTGCCTGACACTCACACCTTCCCTGCATCTGCCCTCCGGGTCTGCGCTCGGGCTGCCCTCTTCCCGTCTTCCTTCTCTCTCTTTCCCACTCTCACCTGTCCCCAAGCCTGCTTTCCACCTCTGCTGAGATGCTTTTCCTGAAATCCTCAAACATTCCTTTCCTTGAGGTCTCTTTGGGGGCACGGTCTGTCCTCCAGCCTTTAGTTCAACATGCGGGGAGATTCAGACAGCTGCCTCCCGCTCTGTTTTCCACCGGTGGGTGAGAATATCAGAGAAATGCTTAGTTGAGGCTTATTCTTAATCAATATTGTGTCTATACGGTAAAGCATTGCTTTTTTCTACCCCAGAATTAATGGGATGCTTCTAAGTCCCAGAAGACCGACAATTGAGAAAATGGCCTCGCGCAAAGCCTCGGCCTCGCACACCACTCACCGGCGCATGGTGGTCAGCATGCCCAACCTGCAGGACATCGCGCCTCCCGAGCTGCCGCCCCGCAACTCGTCGCTGCGGAAAGTGGACACCGGGGATTGCAGAAGCAGCAGCACAGGTGACAAGCCACTCCCCTCTGTGGCGCTGTCTCAGTCACTCAACCTGACGTTGCAAGTCATGGAAAGAAACCGCAGCTTGTTCCAGAAGGGAGTGTGTTTGGGGCTTTTTAGCAGTTTAATTATTTGAAATATTTTTAGAATATTCTTTTTGCAAACTGGTCGTTATAAAAATTCTTTCTCGTCTGTTTTCCATCACCCAGTCTTGCCGCTAAAGATGACAGCTACACGCAGGTCTGGTGTCTTTCGCATGCATACATACATGCGTGTGTGTGCATGTGTATGCATGTGTGTGTGTGAGTATACATAAGATGTGTGTCTACACGCGTCCATGTTTAGTGGGAGACATGACTGTTAGGCCCCAGTGAGTGCCAAGCCGTTTCTATATCCTGGGGGTGCAGGGAAGCCAGCACCCCGCCATGGAGCCGACGTGGCTGAGGCAAAGGCAGGTGATAAACAGATAAACACCAGGGCATTCAGTGTCCTACACGAAGGAAGTGGGGTCAGGGACAGTGAAGGGTGGGGCTCTGAGTGCGGAAGTGACATTTTGGCAGAGATGTGAGTGAAGGGAGACACGAGCCACGTGGCCCTGGAGGAGGCGTGCTCCAGCAGAGGGAGGGCAAGAGCCCCGCACAGCGCTGTGCCGCAGCGGCCGCGTTTCTGAAGCACATTGGTGGGCACAGCTCTCAGTGTTGGCTGGGAGTTTCCCCGGCATGTAAATTGTGTAAACCCCGTCTGCACGTGTGTGAGCCCATCTTGTTGCCGTGTAAGCTGCAGCCGAGCATGTGACGTGTGACGTCGGTCATTTATAATCAGGGTCCCTCTCCATGCAGTTGCAGGATGGAATTGCACTCTGTCCATAGTGGACAGGAAGAAATTGTGGGGAGGCCAGGCGCCGTGAGCCACACGGGCCCCCTGGTGGCCGCTGACTCAGTCTAAGGCACTGGGGACCAATTGGTGCCTCCTGATGAACGCAGGAGAGCTGGAGGCTCAGTGAGGAGCACACTGCTGACACCAGGAGGGGCCCCGAGTTTACGTGAAAAGAGCGTAACGACAGAGCAAGCATCTGGAGGCGACGGCCGGCCGGGTCTGAGTCCCTGCACAGCTGCTGCCTGGCTGTGTGACCCTGGGCAGGCCACTTTACCTCTCTGGGCCTGCCCTTCCGCTTCTGTAAACCCAGTGCCACCTTTCACTCCTCGCTATGGGAACGTGTTCTGCTCTCTGCCCTCTGAGCCTTCGCCTGCCAGCCCGCTGTGTGCCCAGGCTGCTCCCTCCTCCAGGCTCATGGCTGAGACCCCCCCTCCCTGGGCAAGCTGCCTCCCTGCTGGGCTGGCCTGCCGTGCTCCCTGGAGCTCCCGGGAGAGGAGGAGCTCTGGCCGACCCGGGAGGCCCTTCGGTGCTGTTTGTTGGAGGAGCTGGTGTGAGGCCCTCCTGGTTTGGGTTTGGCACTCAGTGTCTGTCCCTGGGGCTAGTGGGAGCCTCAGTCTCCCCATCTGTAAGATGGGAAGCGAGACGATGCCCGTTTCACAGCTTGGCTGGTGAGGTGAATGGAACAGTTCTTTCCCAGGGCTCAGCCCTGCCCGGCGGGTACATCTTGCTTCGGTTGTTAGTGTAATCCTCCAGCAGACTCCCTACCAGGGGATCCAGTCTAACGTTAGTAGTTATAGCAAATAAAATAACTCAGTATTCCCCTGGTGCCGTGGAGGCACAGCGAGGGCTCCTCGTTCAGCATGGGGGCTCCTGGAGCTTTCTGGAAGAGGCACGCAAGGTCTTGCTTTGAGTTGCACGGAAGGCCCGGAAATGTGGACCTGGACGAAATGGGATGGGAACACATGTGCATTTTTAAGGTCTGCGCTAATTATCTGCTTATTTTCCTTTCACTCTTCAGTTCTGAATGTGAGCCCTACGACGACATACACGTTCAAGCTGCCGGAAATCCACTTCCCCCTGGTGGGCCAGTGCGTCCAGGCCTATTACTGTGACTGCGTCAGCCTGCTGAGTAAAGCCATGAGCTTCCTGGCTCCCGAGAGCTCCGTGCTCCTGGCCCGCTACTTCTACCTCCGCGGGCTGGTTCACCTGATGCAAGGACAGCTGCTGGGCGCCCTCCTGGACTTCCAGAGTCTGTACAAAACCGACGTGCGGATCTTTCCTGCCGACCTTGTTAAGAGGACCGTGGACTCCATGTCGGCCCCCGAGCGCGCCCAGGCCGAGCAGACCCCTGAGCTGAGGAGGCTCATCAGCGAGGTCATGGACAAGGCCGGGGAGGCCCCCAAGGCGGATGACCGCGTCAAGAACTTCGAGCTGCCCAAGAAGCACATGCAGCTGGACGATTTCGTGAAGCGGGTTCAGGAATCGGGCATCGTGAAGGACATCGGCACCATCCACCGGCTCTTTGAGGCGTTGACCGTAGGTAAGAGCACGGATGCCCAGATCGTATGGTTTAAGTTCTTGAGGACGAGTCAGTGGCGGCTTGGTACGAGCCCTGTGGCGCGAGGGCTTTGCCACCACTCTGGGCACTTTGGGCACAGGAGGCCCGGCCGAGCCTCAGGACAGCTGTCCTCCCCCGGCGATGTCTGACAATGCAGCCGCCGCCCAGGCCGCTCTCCTGACCCCAGCTCTGGGGGGTGGGAAGGCTCCAGGGAAGCTGGATGGGAGACCAGGAAGCCTCTGCAGGTCTCTCCTGTCCCTCGGGATCTGCCCGTCATGTGACGATCCCTTCCCAAATGCAGGACCACGCATCCGCAGAGTACTCTGGCCACACCTGGCGGCACAGACAGCGAGACAGACTCCAGGCCCGCATTTCGGGAATGCTGCGTTCCCTCACATTCTGTCTTGTCGGTTTAGGCTCCTTCCCACCCCTCCCTCCTCAAAGGGACTGCTCCCCCCAACTCGAGCCTTCCCTTCTGGCCACGTTTATATGCATTTACTGCCAATAGACATGTCCAAAAGCGGGGCCTGGGTGTTGTCTGTTTTTAAACTGTGCGTGAGCTGTGTCCTGTTGTGGGTGTCGGTCTGCGCTATTTTGCTCACGCTTTGTTGTCAGGATGGACCCGCATTGGTGCGCAGCTCTCCTTCTTTACTCGCTTTGCTGCCGACAGCACTGGGCCGTGAGCATCTCTGTGCACCACGGGCAGGGGGCCCGTGCGTCTGCCTTTTTGAATGTGACATGGCGTTGCGCTGCCTGTTTCTGTGGGTGCCCATGCATAGGGTTCTTGAGGATTTGCGCCGAGAAGCTTGTTTTGGGGTGCAAGTGCCGTCGTCCTCGCTGCTGGCTGCCCGCGGCCCTGGGTACACCCCCGCCAGCAGCCTGAGGGTGCTTGGGGTGACGAGCGTGACATGATGTTGTTCACAGGACGTCAGCGCTTATGCTCGTGGGCCATTCTGGCTTCTCCCTCTGAGCTGCCTTTTCAGGTTTTGCCATGTTTGTGTCGGGGTATTTCCTTTCCCATCTGATGTGCAGGAGCTGTCACGTGCCCTGGAAGGGTCGTCCCTTGCTGATGACACACGGCGGCATCTCTCCCTGGTTACTGCACGGAGACCACAGAACGTGGCTTCCCTTTGGTTTCTCGTCTGTGGCCTCTTCGGGCAGACTCGGCAGCGTGTGGCAGCGTCTCCACATGCACGTGCTGTCCGTCTTCCTCCAGGCAGAGGTGGCGGATCATTTGTTCACGGGTCCCAGTTAGTCGGCCTGACCAAGGTGCCAGCTCGTCTGGCACTCACTGGTCACCTCCACCTGCCGTGCTTTGGGAAGGCTGAAAAGGAACCACACCACCTTGGCCGAGCAGGACATGGTGGAGCTCGTCTCACTGGGCATCTGTGGGGCCATCAGCGCCACCCAGGAGACACCCTTGGGGCGGGACAGCGTGGGAGGATGGGCCGTGTCCCGGGGAGTCTGAGGTCCTCACAGAGACACCTGAGTAACAGTGCTGGGGGCTGCTGGGAAGTGGAAGCGTGGGCGCCTTGGGGCTCCCCACCTCTCAAAGGAGGCCCTGCCCTTCCCTCCCGGGGACCTTGACGAGGATATGAGTGCCCCGCCAGGTCAGCCTTAGGCCTGACATGCCGCAGCACAAAGCCGCTGGGCTTGTTGTTGTCGTGTGACAGGACGTCCAGAGCATGCTGGGCAGCTCGACGTCATGGTGACCAGGCCCCACAGTCACCTTTGCTCCCCTCCATGGCCTGTTGTTTCCCAGTCACAGATGGCTGGTGGCCCTGGGCGTCTGTTTTCCCGGCAGGAAGAAGAGGCTCTGTTCCCCCGGCTCTCACCTCTCCTTGGCCAGGAACGTGTCCCACGGCGCCGGCTGTGGGGAGCCTGGGATGCGTGGCTTTATGGCGGGACATATGGGCCCTGTCCAGCAGTCCCAGACTTACGTTAGAAGGGTCATCGAGAGGACATCCTGGGAGGGCATCAGCAGACTTGACCACGATGATAGTGCCATCGACGGCCCTGGGTCACTTTGGCTCTGTAATTGCAAACGGGTCAGCTAATGGGCGTGTGAGCCAGCGTGACGCAGCAGCAGGCGCAGGTTTTGGCCTCACGGCCGTGTGTTAAAGAGCAGCATGAAGCCACAGCTGAATGTCGCCCTCTTGGAAGGAGCTGACGTGGTGCAAGGATTCACTGAGTTTACTCAATGAGTTACCGTACAGTTTCATCACTACACATTGTAACAGTCACACATTTCAAAGTCCAGTATTCATGGTGCAGGCCTGTGTGTTCGCAGGGCAGCTGCTGCCAAGCTGGCTCCAGGGAGGGAGGCTGCCGTGAGTATGGCCATGCGGGAGGCGGGCCCCCGTGACGCTGCCTCCTCCCGCACATGAGCTGGGGGATTGTGTTGGAGGCGTGGTGACAGGGTACAGGGGGGAGCAGTTGGCGTTTTTGTGCAGAATTGGAGACACATGAAGAATGGGTGTTCTCTCCACCTGGATGTGTGCAATGGCTGTGGATGTACACGTGTGCACAATGGCCACAGGTGTGCACAGTGGCAGTTGCTGTGCGTGGCAACTGTGTGCATGGAGTTCACAGATGTGCACAGTGGCTGCAGGTGTGCACGGCAGCCTTGGGTGTGCGCCGCCTGGTCCTGTTGCAGCCCTGGTGGGTCTGGTGTCCACAGGCCCACCGGAGCCATGAGGGCTGCTCCTGCCGCGGGCCACCCTGGTTTCTCTGCCCGGCCCTGGTCGGGGCCTTCTGGAGCCCACGAGCCCACCTCACATCTGAGGCCGCAGCCACGTCTGTCTGAGAGGAAGCTGTCTCGGGTTCTGGTGACACGTGCTCTGCTCTGTGTAGCCCCATAACTCTGCAGGGGCCCGGACAGCAGGCAGCTTTGTCCCGAGTGACGGGGGGACAGGCCACTTGGCCCAGGCTCCACCCCAGGAGTCCTCCCACTCTGGCTTTCATTAATTAATGACTTTGCCTCTCTCTCTTTCTCGTTTCACCTCTTGCTTCCCATTTCTTGGGCTTTTCCTTGCTTGCATATTTAGACTAAACGTCTTCTTACGTGAGGTCCAGCAGAAATAGCAAAGGCTCCGGAATAAAGCACAGCTGCTCAGGACCACTGGCACGTGTGGACCCAGGAGCCCGGTCGGAGGCAGCTGCACTGAGCAGCATTTCTAGAACACAACAGGGCTCCGTGAACCATGTTGTGGGGTCAGGGGCATGACCCGCATGCACTCTGGTGGCCCGCTGCCCAGCGCAGGGGACGTGGGGTCCCGTCCACTGGGGCAGATGCCAGCATACTCATGCTTCGTCTTCTTCAGTGACTTATTTTTAAAAATGTAGATAGGGACGCATAGACACCCACCGCTGTGTGTTTCTTCTCTGTTTGGACCCAGTGACTTTAAAACGTGGAACAGATATGTAAGTAGTATACAACCACGGTCAGCCATCAGAAATAAGGAGAGCGACAGCGACAGCACTGACTCAAACCCCGGCTGGCGCCTGCACGTTGTAGTGGCAACGAAGCCCCTGCCTTTCTGGTTCAAGTCTTAATTCCGACACGCTCAGCCGTTCTTCCCACGGAGAAGCGAATGTCCCGGCCTTGGCCTTGGCCAGGACCGCCTCCTGTCCTGCCCCGTCGCAGCGCCCTCCTGCTCGCTGGCCGCCTGCGGATGGCGGCCCTGACTGCTCAGCTGAGCCAGGCTCAGTTGTGGCCACGATTGCAAATTCCCCGGGGAACTGTCACCCTCAACACAGTGTTATGGAACCAGGGCAGGGACGTGGCCACACCGGGGCTTTCAGGACATCCTTTGGTCATTCCACATCCGGCCTCCAGCCGTGCTGGGGATGGGGAGGACACGGTTCCTGCCGTCCCAAGCAGGGCGCCAGCAGGGCAGGCAGACGCGAACTCGCAGAGTAGGATGGCGTTGGGGTGAGGCCGTCTGCCTGACCCCAGGGCCCAGCTGCGCACTTACCCACCTGCCAGCTAGGGCTTGCCTCCCCGTGCCTCAGTTTCCCTGATAATGGTGCCTGCCTTGTGAGGTGGTTGGGAGCATTAATTGGGACGCTGTGTAGAGCGGTGTATAGGAGGTGTCATTCAACGTGATAAGGGAAGTGCATGTGCAGCTCGGTGGCCGTGTGGCCGGGAAGACTGCCTTGTTAGAGAATGGGGCACGTGAGGTGTTTTCTCTGGGTCTTGCAGAATGGGTAGGAGTTTTCTGGCCCAAATACTCTGGACCAGCGTGTGCAGAGGCGTGCAACAGCACGGCCTGTTTCAGAACCTCCTTGGTATGATTGGAACGTTGGGGCGTGAGGGGCGGGGGGCCTGATCCTGGAGGAATTTGGGGCCTGGTGTGGATGAGGAGCCCTGGAGTGTTTGAACGAGAGAGCAGGAGCTCCTGCTTGCGTCTTAGAAAAGTCATTCCGGGCGCCGAGAGATGCAGGCTGGGAGTGGGGGCAGCTCTGCAGGCAGGGCCATCGGGACGCTACGGGGCTGCTGTGTGACAGAGGGTAGGAGAGGAGCAGCCGGATCTGGGCATGGATGGGAGGGAGAAGGGAGTAGAGGCGAGCACAGATACAGGGACACGTCGGGGGTTACTCTGGGCAGGGCTTCTTAGTAGCGGGCTGGGGTGGGCCCATCTCCACCTGCGGGTGAGGAGGCAGGGGCGTCCACAGCTTGCCTGCAGTCGTGCTGCTGCATGGTAGCGAAACTGGGCTTCCGACTTGGGTCTCTCTGACTTCAGGGCCCACGAATATTGGATGTTTGGAAAGGTTACCGCATCAGTTAAGATCATCTGGGTTACACATAATAAAAGTAATTTATTTGCTCACAGAACCAAACAATATAGAGATAGATCTTGCCAGCGTCAGGCAAGGCTTGATCCAGTGGCCTAGGTGTGTCACCAGGGATCTGGTCTCTTTAGCTTCACCCAAGGACTAGCTCCCCTCGTGGCCCCAGGATGGCTGCCAGCAGTTGTAGTGGTGGCACAGGTCTTTGCCACCATATGAAGAGTGTCCTTGTCCCAGTGTCCCCAGCTGGTGTCCTTAGAGTTGCTGTGACTGCCTGGCTCAAGTCACACGGCGATCCCCATCCCGGGGTCAGGGGCTGGAGAGGGCGGACGGGCTGGGCCTGGATGCAGTGCCCTCTGTGGGCACCTGCGCTGCCTGGGGAGGGAGGGGTGGTTTGGTCCAGGCAGACTTAAGCACTGGCGCCACCTGCCGCCTCGCTCGGGTAATGCGCTCTTTACCCGTGCTGCGTGTGGCTGTAAGAAATCTCTCTTTTCTTTATAAAACCAAGGGCACCAGAAACAGATCGACCCAGAAACGTTCAGGGATTTCTACACCTGCTGGAAGGAGACGGAAGCGGAGGCCCAGGAGGTCGTTCTGCCGCCGTCCGTGATGGAACACCTGGATAAAAACGAGTGTGTCTATAAGCTGTCGAGCTCCGTCAAGACCAACCGTGGCGTGGGCAAGATCGCCATGACGCAGAAGCGCCTGTTCCTCCTGACCGAAGGCAGGCCGGGCTACGTGGAGATTTCCACCTTCCGAAACATAGAGGTAAGACGCGCTGGGGCGCGCCCTGCTCCGGACCCCTCCCGCTGTGCCATGGACCTGCCGGAGACCCGGCCTGCCTCAGTTTGCTCATCTGCAGAGCGGGAATAATCAGGGTGCCTTCCCAATGGGCTTGCTGGGAGGGTTGAATAGACAGACTCAGTGCGCAACGTGCCCAGAGCAGGAAGCGCTCGTCTGTAGCTGATGTCCTGACCCGACTGACGTGTGTCTGGGAGAGGAAGTGGAAGCGAGGCGGGCATGCGCCTTGGCTGACCTTCTAATTAGAGAAAAATGTGAGAAGCACAGGAATGAATTCATCCACAAGGCGTTTGTGGAGAAACTGCCGCGTGGCAGCCGCTGGGCGCTGGTGTCCCCCACATCTCCCAAGCAGGTTCCCAGCGGCCTGCTGGTTTATCCTATGGCAACTCAAGATGCCTGTTCTGTCTTCAAGGGAGTCCTTCTCCCCACGGAGGAAATCTGAAGGGAGATCGTGGCTCATCTGAGGCCTTACATCTATTTTCCCAAATTTGTACGAGGCATGTGAGGGGCGTTCACTCGGCCACTGACTGTTCAGAGATGGGAAAGGCGGTAAACCCGTGGTGAACGCGGGACCAGAGGACCCCACCTGGCGCTGCTTTCCCTCAGTTTCCCCCGCACCTGCTTTGACAGACGTCCTCCTAGGACTCCGAAGAGAGGGAAATAGTTAAGGAGGTGAAAGATGAGCTGCCTTGAAACGCGGTGACTGCGTCCATTTGGGTGGGAGAGTGGCTGTGCTGCTCACGGCGCAGACCCACCGTCCACCGGGAGCCGTGCTGAGCTCTCAGACCCCAGCTCGTGACCCTCCACTCCAGCTGGGGACCCCCCCAACCCCAGCTCTGGGCCCAGCCCCAGGGCTCTGTCCGGGCTCTCCAGGGTGGCCCCTCGCCCTCCTGGGCTGCCTGCACGTCGGGACGTCAGCCAAGCGCCCCGGCAGGTCCCCTGGACGTGTGCAGACGAGGACAGCAGTGGTCACAGCCCGCCGCCCCTCGCTTTCAGACCTGCCATCGCCGCCTCTCTCATCAATCCCAGCGTCCCTTGCGATGTCATTCTACTTACCTTCCTTCTCTTTTTCTGCCTCTTTAGGAAGTCAGAAGTACCACAGTAGCTTTTCTGGTGCTGAGAATACCCACATTAAAAATTAAAATGGTGTCTAAGAAAGAAGTCTTTGAAGCTAATCTTAAGACGGAGTGTGACCTGTGGCACCTGATGGTGAAGGAGATGTGGGCTGGGAAGAAGCTGGCCGATGACCACAAGGTCTGGAAAGCACTGTCCCTTTATCCTGATTTGAGGCTCGCCTCGTCCTGCCCGTGTCTCTGTGATGACGCTCGGCCCGTAGAGCTCGGGGGCTCGGGCTTGGTCCTGTGGGCAGGATAAGGTGAATTACACGGGGGCTTGTCAGAAGGCGCTGAAGATGCTGTGGTTTGTGTGACCCAGCAGGAGGCCTCGTGGCGTTTGGGGAAGCCGTGGTGAGCAAACCCAGCAGCCGGCAGAGCGGTGTGGATAGACCGCGGGGCCGGCCACTCTGTGTTCCCCTCGTCCCCCCTCCCCACCCACCGTGGAGCGAGGCAGCAGACGGAGGCCCTATGGGGGAACAGAGTTCTGTGTCTGAATGGCAAGACAGGAAAACCCATAACAGGATGGGCAAAGGGTGTGAACAGGGAGCTCCCACACGGGCCCAGTTCAGAGGGTAGAAAGCGGTGCACAGCCGCGGATCACGAGAGGCACCGGGAGGGCGGCAGCCGCCACAGGGGCGCCTGTCAGGAAGGACACTGTGTCCAGTGGCGGGAGAGCTGCCGTGCGTGACGGGGTGTTCCCAGTCACTGGGGGAGCTCGAGGCCGCAGACGTGAGCGGCTGTTTCTGTTTGGCGTGGGAAGAGGGCGTAGGTCCCTTCTAAGGTTCCAGTATTCCATGCCTTTTGGGCCTGCCCTCTGGTTTTATGTCCACTGGGTTATTTAGCACAAACCAGCCCAGTCAGACTAAAGCCCGTGGGCCTGGGGACCGTCCGCGAGGCAGGTGTTGACACACACATCTACATGGGCCCATTCGTTCGCGTAGTCTGGCTGCTTTCGAGCGGCCGCAGCAGAGCTGAGCAGTCGGGACACAGATTGTGTATTCACTGCCTGGCCCTTCATAGAAAATGTTGACCGACCCTGGTATAAACAATCAATATTTGCCTTAACTAAGAGAAAAATAATTACGTGACATCAAATCCAAATTTAAACTCTTCCTGTTACTTTGAAAAAACACGCACCTTTAAAAGAATTGTTTTATGTAACGTAACAGAGTCTTAGCCTGAAGGATTTCGGTGACTGTTGAAACGAATGTGTTTCTCCCGCAGGACCCCCAGTACGTCCAGCAGGCGCTGACCCACGTCTTGCTGATGGACGCCGTCGTGGGCACGCTGCAGTCGCCCGGCGCCATTTATGCTGCCTCCAAATTGTCGTACTTTGATAAGATGAAGAACGAAAGTAAGTCAAGCCCGTGTTTGACAGAGCTTCGGTGTCTTGAACTCGTTTTGAGTGATTTTCGTCCGGTTGACATTTGTTTTATGAGTTAGAACCCATCCCACATTTCTCAAATTTTTTTTTTATACTTTTAAATTTGTTTTTGCAAATCATACATTGTTCTGCATCTTTCCTTTTCTGACTGAACAGTATACCTTGGAGCTCTCTGCTTATCAGGTCACATTGAGGTACCTCCTAACCTTAATGTCTGGGTACTTTTTACTGGACGGTATTTGTTATGATTCCTAGTTGCCAACAACAAAATTTCCATTGGCCGCTTGAAGCCGAATAGAAATTTGTGGGAGGCTGTTGAGTGGCTCCTGGCACCCCCAGCAGGCGGGCACTCATGCACTGGGAGTGGCAGGAACCTCTGTGCACGGTCGGCCTTGTTGACTGGTGGGTTTCACCCCTGCCTGAGCAAGTGGAGGCCCCCAGATGTCCATATCTTTTTCATTTTCCTTGACTTGGTCAGTTTCCCCAACAGGGTCTCGTGTCTGTATATTTAAATCCGGCTCTCACATTCTGGAAGCCATACAGAGGTAGATGGTAGGCTCAGTTTTTGGGGGGAAGATTTTTCAAGTCTAGGAAATAGCAAATGGGTAAGAATAACTTTATGCCTCATTTTAGCTACTTCTATTTTGTTTTAGCTTTTAAGTAATCTAAAGCCACCTGCCTTTTGATTTACATAAAGAAGTGGAGAATACGGAGGACCCCTTACCCGCGTTAACCTCACTTCCCACCACGATGGGGTGATTGTTAATTCATGGTCACAGGGGAACACAGTAGGGATGTTGTGAAATGCCGTCTGCTTCTGTGTGCACGCACCGTCTTTAACAGCTTTACTGCGATGTAACTCTCATGCCGTACCAGTTAAGGTGTGGGTTTAGCGTATTCAGGGCTGTGCCGCCGTCAGCACAGTGGGTTTTAGAACAATTTTCATCACCCCAAAAAGAAGCCGGCTCCGCTCAGCAGCCTCCCCAGCCCCCAGGCGCCCTCCGGTCTGCCTTGTGTCTCTCACGGATTTTCCTGCTCTGGGCATTTCCTGGATAGACTCACACGTGTGTCCTCTGTGCCCGGCTTCTGTGTAGCGTGACGCTCAGGTTTGTCGTGGGGCAGGTTTCGGTTCCTCCTCCCTTCAGGGACGGGTGCGGTTCCGCGTGAGGAACGAGCAGTTTGCTTGTCCGCCCACCTGCTGTGAACGCGGCCTGTTCCCTCTTTCTGGCTGTTACGCACAGTGCCGCTGTGGACGTCCACGGACAAGTGTGTGTGTGGATGTGTTTTCATCGCAATGGGGTATAGAGCCCGGAGACTGGTTTGTAAAATGTTGTCCCAGGAGTAGGAAAAACAAACCTCAATTACGCGTTTATTCACCTCCATGCATTTTACTCTTTGCCATGTCTGTCACTAACTGTGAGATCCCTGATGCTTCCTGGTCCCAGAATCCCTCCCTCCGTGCCCCAGAATCCTTCTCTCCGTGTCCCAGAATCCTTCTCTCCATGCCCCAGAATCCCTCTCTCCGTGCCCCAGAATCCCTCTCTCTGTGCCCCAGAATCCCTCTCTCCGTGCCCCAGAATCCTTCTCTCCGTGCCCCAGAATCCCTCTCTCCGTGCCCCAGAATCCTTCTCTCCGTGCCCCAGAATTCTCTCCGTGCCCCAGAATCCCTCTCTCCGTGCCCCAGAATCCTCTCCATGCCCCAGAATCCCTCCCTCTGTGCCCCAGAATCCCTCTCTCCGTGCCCCAGAATCCCTCTCTCCGCTTCTCTTCGTGCCCCAGAATCCCTCCCTCCCGTGTCCCACAATCCCTCTCTGTGCTCCAAAATCCCTCTCTCTGTGCCCCAGAATCCTTCCCTCTGTGCCCCAGAATCCCTCTCTCCGTGCCCCAGAATCCCTCTCTCCGCTTCTCTTCGTGCCCCAGAATCCCTCCCTCCCGTGTCCCACAATCCCTCTCTGTGCTCCAAAATCCCTCTCTCTGTGCCCCAGAATCCTTCCCTCTGTGCCCCAGAATCCCTCTCTCCGTGCCCCAGGATCCTTCTCTTCGTGCCCCAGAATCCCTCCTTCCCGTGTCCCACAATCCCTGTCTCCGTGGCCCAGAATCCCTCTCTCCCACTGCAGTCAGGATGCTCCAGTCGCCACAATAGCTGCTGGAGTGCCTTGGAGGAGTTCCTGTCCACAGTCCTGGGACCGGACATTGATGGCTGGTTTTCTTCCCTTGCTTAGGGACGAAATCAAATAAACACTACACTTGAGCTGTTTATATCACTCCAAGCTCATGCCTAATCTTTGTCAAGAGTTTGTAGCAAAGCCTTCAGTCCTCTGTAAACAGCGTACACGGTCGCCGCGGTAGCACCCAACAAACGACAGCTCACTTAACTGTTGTCCACCTGGTTCCCTACGGCAAAGGGGACTTGTCTAAGCTCAGCGTCCCTGACCCCTTGCTCCATATCAAGAACCGTTTTCCTGTGTGTAAAACTCAGGCAGTAAAGGTACATCATCCTGGGCTTGAGTTAACAGCTTACGGCCAACTCACGACGGAAGGTCAAAACTTAAACTTTCCAAAGTTTTGTGCTCCATTCCTGGACGGGGGGGCATTTGGGAATGCGGGGAGATTTTGTAGTTGTGTGTGCACTGGGGGGTGCTCCGCATCTGCGGGGCGAGCCCAGGGATGCTGCTAAACACCCTGCAGTGCACAGGCCGGCCCCACGGCAGCCACAACTGCAGCCCAAGATGTGCATGGCGCCGAGGTTGAGAAGCTGCTCGTGGGAAGCTTTCCCCATGGGAAGGTTTGAAGGCTCCTCTTTGCGAGGTGATACGTAATGGTGGGGTGTGGAGAGCGGTCAGGTGATAGCGCTTGCCAGCTGAGAAGAGAGCCGTGTTGGAACAGAAGGCGGTGTGAGACATGGATGAATGCCACCCTCGCCAGCCATTTACACGATGCCAGCAAGAGCAAGGACGCCGGACACGCGTGGCTCCACTTCACTGTCTGGTTCAGAGAGAGCTTCATTTTCACAAATTATGAAGTTTTACCCCAAACTACCCTTCTAAAGAAAGCAGAGTGCGTGAGGCTGTTGGGAACGTGGTCCAGCTAGTCGGGTAGACTGATGCTGGTGTCTGCCTTTCAGTGCCCATGGCGGTTCCAAAGACGACCGCGGAAACGCTCAAGCACAAGATCAACCCCTCGGCGGGAGAGATCTTCCCGCAGGCCGTCGACGTCCTGTTGTACACTCCAGGTGAGGAAGCTCCTCCTGCGTGTTGCTGTGGCCTTTGCAGCGGTCTGGTAGGTGTGCGTCGGTGTTCAGGGGCAGCCCTGCGGCGGAGGCGTGATCCGGGGAGGCTGGGGACCAGGTGCTTTTCTACTTTTGGAGGCAAAACCCTGAGCGATGAAGTCAAAGTGTTGTGGCTGCTCCATAAGCGTGAGCTTGTGAAGGCCAGAGCCGGGGGGCCCACGAGAGGTTGAGGTGGGGGAGACACTTCACGTGAGTCCCGCTCCGCAGCCGCCATCCCATCCCCTCGTGCAGCAGTTCACGATCTGCACAGCGTGTGTGCTCGCCTTCTTTCCCTGGTGGTCATCTACTCGGACCCTGTTGTCACTGGGATAAAGGGCCTGCCTCTCAGGTTCTCGTCTTAGCAGCCGTGGACGTGTGTCCTCGGCCGATCTCATGTCTTACCAGATGGTCCTTTTTCGTTGGGGCGGGTGTCCAGTCTTCCCCCTGTGCAGAGGTTTCCTGGTTCCCCACAGGCTGCAGTAGGATGGTGAGAGGAGAAGGGAATTGGTGCTGCCACGGGTCTAAGTGTAAGCGGAGAGGGCCATTGGGTTACAGGTTTAAAACCGTCAAAAACGCGTCTGTTGAATTCTCACTCGTGAAGGATTGCAGCGGGAGGGTTTCTCCGAGGGTTTGTAGTGTTGGAAAACGGAGGAACTTAGTTCTAGGCAGAAAAGCACCTTGAAACCCAGTCGCTTTGTTTTCAGCTCGTCCATGTCTGAATAATGAGCAGTAAGCATCACCGCTGGGCTCCTGGTGTCTCCTTTGTGCTTCGTGGTGAGTGACTTCATGGAGCTAACGGTTCGCAACCGTGGAGCTTACGTTTCAGACGGGCAGGTTGAGGTCTGTGGCAAAGCAATTCCCCAGCAGGAGAGGAGAGTTTTCTCTTCACTGAGTGTCCGGAAGAGCCAGTAAAGCAAGAGATGGCATGTGAGAGAGAATAGAGTGCAGTCAGGCCTTGTCCTCTGGAGGCCCACCTGACTGATCCACTCAGGGCTCTGTGGACTTCGCCAGACACCACAGATAAGACAGTGTTCATCATGGCATCTGAATCAAGGAGTTTTTAAGTTTTTTTATTTTATTTTTTGAGGAAGATTGGCCCTGAGCTAACATCTGCTGTCAATCCTCCTCTTTTTGCTGAGGAAGACAGGCCCTGAGCTAACATCCATGCCCATCTTCCTCTACTTTATACGTGGGACGCCTACCACAGCATGGTGTGACAAGCGGTACCATGTGTGTACCCGGGATCTGAACCAGCAACCCCAGGCTGCCGAAGCGGAACGTGCGCACCTAACCACTGTGCCACCGGGCCATCCCCTAAATGAGTATTTTTAGATCGAAGTTAGTGTCCCTTAAATTAAAACTGGCTCGAGGGGCTGGCCCCGTGGCCGAGTGGTTAAGTTCACGCGCTCCGCTTCAGCGGCCCGGGGTTTCACCAGTCCTGATCCTAGCCGTGGACCTAGCACTGCTCGTCAGGCCACACTGAGGTGGTGTCCCACATGCCACAACTAGAAGGACCTACAACTAGAATATACAACTATGAACTGGGGGGCTTAGAGGAGAAGAAGAAAGGAGAAAAAAAAAAGAAGATTGGCAATAGATGTTAGCTCAGATGCCAATCTTTAAGGAAAAAAAAAAACTAAACTGGCTCAACTCTGGGCTTCCCGTCGTGCTGGGCTAGGTCATTCAGAGCAGCCAGCCCTCTGAGAACATCTAGGAGGGCCAGGCAAACTATAAGAAACAACCATGAAGAACAATGGGGCCCCTTTTCCTGTGGAGTGGCTGCTGATTCTGGAAGTAGTGACTGGAGCTGAGAGCTGAGCAGAGCTTTGGCTCGTCCTGCGGGGTCAGAGGGGCAAAAGCTGGAGTCAGGCCCGTCGAGGAGGGGAGTACGGTCCTCCCACTAGCTCTGGGCCGGGACTCCGGGCTTACCCGGGAGTGAAGGAACTAGCTCACAGACCCTGGAGCCCCGCTTCCAGCAGCTCAGTCTCCCAGGCCTGAGAGTGCATGTCAGAGGGGCGAGATCCCCCCCAGGGGGCCAGTGGACCAATGGAACGGACGCCCCAGAGAGACTGACAGTTACTCCTCCTCAATTTATGACAAAGGTGGTGTTACAGAGCAGGGGGTGGGGGAAGGACGTAAACGGTGTTGGGACATTGTGCATCTGTATGGAAAAGATGAAACCTGACCAACTGCACCTCAGATCACCACTCTGTCAGTTCCAAGGGGGCCGAAATCTAGATGTGAAGGGCAACAAGCAAACAAATAAAGAAAGCCCACAAACTTCTAGAAGATAATATAGGAGAATATGTTCATGACCTTAGGGTAAGGAAAGAAATTATATACAAAAAATACTAGGCATAGGGGAAAAGGTTGATGAATTTGACCACATTAAGGAGTTTAGAAAGACACTTTTGAGAGAGTGAAAATGGTAGTCCTGGCCTAGGAGAGAATATTTGCTACACAACAGAACCCACAGGAGCTCATGTCAAGGATATAAACAGAATGAATACAATTCAAGGAGAATAAGACAATTCAAAAATGGACGGGACATCAGTGCTTCACAACACAGCATGTCCACGTGGCTGATTAAAGCCGTCAGCCTCATTTGCAATTAGGGAACCTCAAATAAACCACAAAACCCAAAATCTTTATACCATTTGAGTGACCAAAGTGAAAAAGACTGCCAGCACCCATGCTGACGAGGATGTGGAGCAGGAGGAAGCCTGCCACGCTCCCGGCGGGAGGGGACCTTGTCAGGACACAGCGGGTCCTGCCCAGGCTCTCCAGCGACCCCCCTCCCCCTTCTGTCCTGCTGCCACCTGCCCCTGCTCCTTCTGTTTCCTCCACCTGAAACTCTGTCTCTGATGAATTCTCACGCGTCCTCCAGGTCCTGGCTCAGGGAAGCCACCCCGGCTGTGTGCCCTCCTGATTCTGTCTGCCTGGCTCTCTTGTCGGAGACAGCTCACTCACAGACTCTAAGCGGCGGTTCCGGTCGTGCTCACCTTTGTATCCTGGGCACCTAGCGTGGCACCAGGAGCTTGGCGGGTACCCAGTGGTACCTGAGTAGTGGCGTGAATCACCTGCTGATGCATCAAAGGGGTTTCCTTTAAGTGCTTTTGGGTTGCTTCCTTTTTAGGGCATCTTGATCCAGCAGAAAAAGTTGAAGATGCTCACCCCAAACTATGGTGCGCTCTGAACGAAGGCAAGGTGACCGTATTCGATGCCTCCTCTTGGACGATCTACCAGCACTGCTTTAAAGTGGGCACTTCTAAACTGGTGAGTAAGGCAAGCAGCAGGAAATGCGGATGCCTGTGACCGTGATTCTGAAAAACAAATGTGTCAGCCAGGACCCCGCAGTAGGACACACGTTATTCCACAGCATCACTCAATTCTTTTTTTTTTTTTTAATATTTTTTTTTCTGCTTTTTCTCCCCAAATCCCCCCAGTACGTAGTTGCACATCTTAGTTGTGGTCCTTCTAGTTGTGTCATGTGGGACGCAGCCTCAGCATGGCCTGATGAGCGGGGCCATGTCCGCGCCCAGGATCCGAACCGGTAAAACCCTGGGCTGCCGAAGCGGAGCGCGAGAACTTAACCATTTGGCCACGGGGCCGGCCCCTTAAATGCTCTCATTTAAATGAGCAGGTAATGACTGGAACCACAGCCCGCTCGGAAATCTAAAAGTGAGTTTCCCCATAATGTAAAGTGCAGTGCCGTATTCTCACGCTACTTTCCCAGTAATCTAAAGCAGATACTTGGAATTATTTTAACGTATTTGGGGCTGAAAATTAAGAATAACTTAAATCAAATTTGCATATTATAAACATCTTGTGGTTGAGAAACCTTAATTCTTTGAGCTTTTGGACTGATTACTTTTTTTAATTAAATAAAGTTTTATATTGGAATAGTTTTGGCTTTACAGAAAAGTTGCAAAGATGGTACAGGGAGTCAGTAGGCCCCGCCCCCACTTCTCCCCATTGCTGGCATCTTCGGTCACCCTGGTGACGCCTGTCACGATGACACTGGTGCATTGCTCTTAACTAAGCTCCACACGTTATTTGGATCCCACCGGTTTTTCTACTGACGTCCTCCTCTGTCCATGTGACATTTAGTCGTCATGTCCCTGCAGTCTGTTTGTCTGGGACAGTGTCTCAGACTTGGTGTTTCATGATCTGCACAGTCCTTGAGGTACCCTGTAGAATGTCCCCAATCTGGGTTTGCCTGATGCTCTCTCCTGACGAGACTGGGGTTGTGGGTTCTGGAAAGAACACTGAAGAGGCTAAGTGCCTTTCTCCTCACATCCTCTCAGACGTCCACGTGGCCTCATGGGTGAGGTGGACCCTGATCGCTGGTGGCTGGCATCTGCAGCTTCCCGCACTGTGGCGCCCGCTCCCCCGCCCCGTACCCTACTGTAGAAGTGAGTCGTTGAGTGCAGCCCGCCTGGGGAGCGGGCGGGAGTAGGCGTCGAGGTCCTGGAGGGGGAGGAATTCTCCTCTGAGAGAATCCGTCTCTTCTCCGTGCATTGGTTCACTGCTGCACCTGTTCCTGCTTCAGCCGCAGGCGCTCTTTCAGGTGGGCCCTGTGTCCCTTCCACATGCCTCATCCTCTTACTTGTTTTCGAGGCTGTCCTTATTTTCCGGCGTGACAAAAAGCTCCAGGCCCATCTCGTGTTTTCTCTGCCCCCAGAATCAGCCATTTCTCCCTGGAGCCCTGGTTCCTGAGACTGGAGGATGGTAGTTAGAACCCACATCTGGGAGAGGGCGGACTAGCGTTTAATCCAGCTTTCTTAAATGACAACGGCTGGTGTTTGTGTCAGGCCATACGGGTTTCGGACGTCTTTCTCGGAGCCCGATGAAGTTGGCGTTGTTGTCAGTGGCCTGACTTGCCCGGGCACACAGTGCTAAGTGGGAGCCACAGCGGGACCTGCTCCTCCTGAAAGGTGCTAGAGCTTCAGAGGCACCTGGTTCCAGGGAGGAGGCTGAGGCCGCGAACCTTTTCCTGCCAGCAGGTGGCAGCAGGTGGCACAGCAACAAGTGGGAGGTGGGGCCTTGATGGTCCACTGTCCCTGACTCTTCCCTCCCTGCCAGGCGGCCATGGCAGGTCCTGTCAAGCTGCGTCGAGCGGTTCTTTTAATTCCTGCCTCTAGATTAGAGAATCTGTAACAGCGTCTGAGAGTGTAACAAGTCAGGCTTTCTCCCAGGCCCAGATCATCGTACTCTTGGGAAGGTGGGTAGCTGAAATGTGCATTCGTGTAACATAGGTTGTTACGTTCCACGCCCGGTCAGGAGAGGGTATTACATAACCCCAGTCGATTATGCTGATCCATGCAAAACAGCCCTCACCCAAGAATCCACCGTCACGGTTTAGACCAACGGCCGTGAGTGCTACGCGGAGTCAGCTGCCTGCTTGTGGGCTTCTCCGGGCCACACACCACCCGCTGCAAAGAATGTCGTACATTCCACACGATGTATAAGTTACCCACGTGCACCAGGGCCCTAAAATGGACCACACCTGGAAGGGTTCACGCGAATGCTGGGGTCTCCAGGGGAGAAGCCATCAGCAGGTTTCTTTTGGACCAAAGAGGAGGTGTGGCTCCTCCCCTGGGGCTGCCTGTGAACTCAGTGACTCCAGGCCGTCGGTTATGATGCCATCCCACCTTTCAAAATACTCGCACATCTGCTGTCGGGGGGCTTCATCCTGTTCAAGACCCTCTGAGGGTGTGAAAGAAGCCACTGTCCCAAGGGGTCTTCCTAGGGAAATCCTCGTGCCCTACTCCTGTAACATGAATCAACCTTATTTTCCCCACGTTTAATGCGACGTTTAGATACCTAAGTGTTAGGCGTCACTTAGTATCAATTTCGATGGCCAGGTTCCATCATCTAAAACTAATGTGACACTGTGGCACAGTCTGTGCTTTCAAAGCTGCTGTGAAAGAGAGACTGTGAATTCAAACACACATCACTGAGGGGATGGGGATGGTTCCTAAGTGCCTGAATGGCAAACTTCGCACATTAGCAAGAAAATAAGTCGCTAAATCGTTTTCCCCCATAGTCAAATGATGAGCCTCAGATGATAAAGTAACAGGATCCAACAACAGACATTAGTCAAAATATTTACAAAAGACTAATAATGCCTTAGACCAAGCAAAAAAACAAGAAAGAGAAATTGAAGAGATAATTCTTATTCTAAATTTAATTTTTTTGTGTTGTCTTAGTTACAAGCATTTCAAAGCCTTTTTAAAAATAGAATAACTTAAGATCCTCGTTAAAATCAAAAGGCTGCATTCTGTAGCCGTCTCTCCTGCCCCCAATAGGCCAGGTAACGTTTAATGAAAGTGATAAGTTATCCCAATTATGTGCAAGGATCTTCCTACTGGTTTCACGGAGATGTTTTGTACCATTTAACAAGAAAGAAACGGATAATTATCTCAAGAAAATGCTACCTCCTCTGAAATTTGACATTCAAAGTAGTTTAAGATATCGTTGGGCCACTAAAGAAAGACATTTTACTAAAATTATACCAGTCCTCAGGTAGATGCTAAAAAGAAAGGATTTTTTTAAATGAATAATTAATTCTGAAATTAGCACGTTAACGTCTTTTTCTAAATTATGGGAATATTTATCAGTAAAATTAAAGCTATCAATTTTTGCAAGCTCTTTCTTCTGCCTTAAAGATAAGTACAGTTCAGCGCCACCGGCACCGATTACATCTGATGTTAGATGTAGCCTTACCCACCCCCAACGGGACATAACTTGCACTCTTTGAAATCTACTCGTATTTGAGAATCTGAGGCATCTGTTCGGTTACCAGTAAAGCGGGGCACATACCACGGGTGAAGACAGGAGAGACGATCATAAAATAGCCAGTGAGGCGCTGGCTGACCGTCGGCGCGACACGAGCTCAGGTGAGGACGACGTGGGGAGTGCCTCTCAGGTGCGACTGGATTGGCCAGTGTGCAGGCAGACACAGCTGGGTGTCACATGTTTGTGTGGCTTTTATCACTCTTTAGTGTTTTCATCCTTAATTTCTATTTCAAAAAGTCTAAAAATAACCCCTGGCTGTTGACTTTGCTGAGCGGGAAACCCCTCAAATGCAGTCTAGCTGCAGAGCGCTGGCATTTTTTTCACTGTCGACAGTCGGTCCCCATTATTTGCAGATCCCATGTCTGCAAACTCACCTACTTGCTAAAATTTATTTGTAATCCCCCAAAATACGGTGCTCTCCTGGTTATGCATAGCCACGAACGTGCACAGAGTGGGGGTAGAACGCAGGCTGCCCGACGTGCGTGTTCCCTGCTGAGGAACAAGGTGACACCTTCTTGTTGCAGCTTGTGCTGTGGATGAGGGTCCTTTTCATGGCCTATTCAGTGCCGCGTTCTCTGCACTTGTGTGGTTTTTATTGGTGATCCTGCTGTTTAAAATGGCCCTGGTGTGGAGCCGCGGTGCTGTCTAGTGTCCCTGAGGCTGCAACGTGCCCCACAGAGAAGACACGTGCCCGAAAAGCCTCGTCAGGCGGGAGTTACGGTGCGGCTGGCTGTGAGCTCGGTGAGAATGAATCAGCAGTGTATATAAAATAAGAGTCTGTAAACAGAGACACACACAAACAAGGTCACGTGCGGACGTGACAGAATGTGACCAGGGGCTAAGGATCCTGGCTGCAGGTCACGTGCGGACGTGACAGAATGTGACCAGGGGCTAAGGATCCTGGCTGCAGGTCACGTGCGGACGTGACAGAATGTGACCAGGGGCTAAGGATCCTGGCTGCAGGTCACGTGCGGACGTGACAGAATGTGACCAGGGGCTAAGGATCCTGGCTGCAGGTCACGTGCGGACGTGACAGAATGTGACCAGGGGCTAAGGATCCTGGCTGCAGGTCACGTGCGGACGTGACAGAATGTGACCAGGGGCTAAGGATCCTGGCTGCAGGTGCCCTCGCAGCAGCGGTTCAGCATTCGCTGGCTCAGTACTCAGTGAATCTACAGGCCGTGGGGTGACTGTTTCTGATGTCCTCTTGGCCTCCCGTTAGAACTGCATGGTGATGGCGGAGCAGAACCAGGTGTGGGTCGGCTCGGAGGACTCTGTCATCTACATCATCAACATCCACAGCATGTCGTGCAACAAGCAGCTCACCGATCACCGCTCCAGTGTCACGGATTTGGTTGTGCAGGACACAGCGGAGGCGCCCAGGTACGGCTGGGCCCTGCCAGGGGAAGGGACCCTTCAGCTCTTGGGTGGGTCGGGGCCCCTGGAGGGAGGGGTCACAGTCGCTGTGGGCGATCGCCTACAGGGGCCGGACCGGGCACGGAGAGTGAAGCGGGTCTGTAGGAGAAGTCAGGCGACATTCTCGTCTGTTTCGGGTCCTGGGTGCAGAGAAGGGCCCATGTCCGGGGTGGGTGTGGTGGTCAGTGGCAGCCGGCGCTCGGCCTTCCTTGGCTTGGCTTCCAGTGGTTTGCCCGCGATCCTTGGTTGTAGACGCAGCTCTCAAGTCGTCCGTCTTCACATGGCCTGCTCCCTGTGCGTGTGTGTCCACATTTCCCCTTCTTACAAGGACGCCGGTCAGGTTGCATCAGGGCCACCTGTTGATTTCCTTTTAACTTGAATACTTCCATAAAGGCCCTATTTGCACATCAAGTCCGAGGTACTGGGGGTTAGGACTTGAACATATCGTTGTGGGGGGACACAGCTCAGTGTTGACCTCATTCCCCCCCCCCGTCTATTGCACTAAGAACATCGGCTTCCTGAGGCAGGTGCCGCGTCTGCTCCGCTCTCTGCTGTGTGCCCCACGCCTAGAACAGGGCCAGCACGCAGCGGGTGCCCAGGGCAGACTTGAGAACCAGGAGGGGCCCCCGTTTCCCTCTGTGCAGGAAGCAGACGCTTAGTGAGTGTGCGAGAGGTGCCAGGTCACTCACTTGGTACAGGTGGCCATGGCTCCAAAGCTTTTCGGCTGCTTCTCTCTGTGCCACCCTCCCCCACCCCCTTGTCCCCTTAGTTTCAGGGGTGCCACTGGTTCCCAGCCAGGCCCAGGTCAGGGGGATATAAACTGAGCCCGACCAGGAAGTGGCGGGCCGTGGGCTGCACTGTCTAGAGCCCCACCCGTGAGCTGCCAGTCACCCACGCTGCGCAGGTGAGTGAGCTTGGAGAGCACGTGCGAGGGGTAGATTCAGTTAACGGCCACGTTACAGTTCTCTTCACCGACACCTAGCGGAGCCGGCAGCCTACAATGATGGGCGACAGCGGGCGTCCTCAGAAAGCCCCTTTCCTGGACGGCCTGGTGGTGCAGTGGTTGGGTTCTCACGTTCCGCTTTGGCAGCCTGGGGTTCGCTGGTTCGAATCCCGGGTGCAGACATGGCACCACTTGGCGGGCCAGGCTGTGGTAGGCATCCTGATTATGGAGTGGAGGAAGATGGGCACGGAGGTTGGCTCAGGGCCAGTCTTCCTCAGCAAGGAGAGGAGGATTGGCAGTAAATGTTATCTCAGGCCTAATCTTCCTCAAAAAAAATCAAAAAAATTTTTAAAAGGCCCATTCCTGCTGCGTCAGTGACATCTTAGCTAGGCCTTGTTCCACCACATTCGTAGTGTGTTTGCACGTCACTTACTGTCTACCGTGTGCATGCCTTCTCTAATGGTAATTTTGTTCTTTTCTGGATTAAAACGTCTACAATGTTGTCAGGGGCCAAAATTTGATATTCTTTACACCGCCAGGGAGGTGTACTCGTGCAGCGTGGATGGGACGGTCCTGGCATGGAATGTGAGCACGCTGCGGGTGACCAGCAGGTTCCAGCTGCCGAGCGGCGGGCTCTCGTCCATCAGACTGCACAATGGCCGCCTGTGGTGCTGTAAGTCCTGGGGGCCCCGCCGCCAGAACTGGAAGCTGGCCCCTGCTCTAGGACGAGGAAACCGAATGGGAGCTACCGGCCTCTTTCATGCTTTCCACATTTCCAACTTTTGTTTTAAAACTCTGGTTCCTTCTCTGTGCTCCCTGGCTCCCCACGTCCCTGCGTCCCTCTTGATTGTGCTGTTTCTCCAGGGCTCCCCTACGCCTCCCCGAGGCACCTGCCGCTTCTCCAAGTGCTGGCCTCTCTCCCGCTCTCCCCTTTGCTCTTGCTGTGTCCCACTCATGGTGAGAACGCAGCCTAGGTGCCCCCAGGAGTCGTCACTGCTCTTTCTGGAGCCCTTGGGGGCCCTGCCATTTGAGTGCAGGCCGGAGGGCACGCTTGTCAGGAGCGTGCCGTGTGCTCACCTCTGCCACTCGCAGCACAGACCCCAGGGCGGGGCTGTCTGTGGGACCGAGCTGGGCGTTTGTCTGGCGTCTGACTGGAAGGTGCAGCGGCTGTGCCCGGTGGCTTGTGTTCTGCATTGCTGAGCATCGCAGAGCACAGCTGTCTGCACTTTGAACTGTTCCCTGGCATATATACACCGGATAATATGGGTGAGGGTGTGAACACATTTTCTCTAATTCAAGCATGTGTTACGTGTGGTAAAATGCACAAACGTTGAGTGTACAGTTTGTTGTGTTTCGACAAAAGGATCCACCACATAACCACCCAACAGTCAAGACGCAGGGGACGTCCATCGCAGCTGCGTTCCTCGGTGCTCCTTCCAGGCAGCCCCCTCACAGGGGAACGGTGGTTCTGAGTTCTATCCCTGGATTTGTTTTGCTTGTTCCTGAACTTTCTATAAATGGGCTCTACAGCACGTGCTCTTCTTCTGTGGCTCTGTTCAGTCTACACAGGATTCTGAGGATTCATCCGTGGCCTTCCGAGTTCCCAGCTCCTGCATTTTATCGCTGAGCAGTACTGCACTGTATGAATTTACTACATTTATGCTAGTCTGGTTATCTTTTCTCTGGTGGGTTGAACTGGGTTAATGGTGTTGAACCATTTGAGAAACCGTCAGCCCCCTTCCAGAGCACTTGCTCCATCTTGCATTCCCAGCACAGCGCAGGAGGGTTCCGCTCCCCCTGCCTCCTCACCGGAGCTCCTCTGGCTTTGGTTGGAACCATGCTAGTGGCTAGCATGGGACCATGACGTGACGTGGCATCGCGTCGTGGCATTGATTGCGCTTCCCGAGGGCTGACGATGGGGAGCATCTTCCCATGTGCCTTTTGCCATTTCGGTATCTTCTTTGGAGAAGGCCTGTTCAGATCCTTTGCTCATCAGTCGATTCACTTTTAATGCTATGATGATATGGTTAGGAGTAAGTGTACTGTCGCCTTCTTTCTGTTCCGTTTTCCCATCTGTTCTTCGTTGTTTCTCCTCTCCTGCCTTCTTTTGGACTATTTTAATATTCGTTTTAACCTTCTTTGCTGTCTTGTTAGCGCTACATTCTTTGTTTTGCTGTTGAGTGGTTGCTCCGAGGATGGCAGTCTGCGGCCGGACCTCCTCGCAGTCTCTCTCAGGTGACGATCACACCACTTCCTGTTAACGTGAGCAGCTCAGAGCAGTCAACTTAATTCCACGTACCTCTTTCTGCCCCTTGTGCTGCTGTTAAATGCAGGATTTTATTTCTAGGATTGTGATAAACCTCATAATATATTTTTAAAGTTTTTGCTAAGTACTCCACAGTCTTTCAAAGAAAGTAAGAAAAGGTTTATTTTTGCCCATATATTGACCGTGTTTGGTGAGCTTCATTCCCTCTTCAAACTCAGGTTTCCATCTTGCATCATTTCCCCTTCACCTTAAGAATTTCCTGCAGTATTTCTTACGATCTGAGTCTGCTGAAAACAAATTCCAGGCTGACAGTTCTCATTTTCTCCCCACGCTTTAGCGATATCATTCCCCTGTCGTGTCTGTGTGTTCCTGACGAGCAGTCTGCCATCGTTCTTACGCTTCTGCTCAGTGAGCGCGCCCGGCTTCTGGAGCGGCGGGTCTTCTCTGGTTCCGTGAGCTGGACTACCGCGTGCTTGGTGGGAAGGGCTTGTGTTCATCTCGCTGGCAGTGCACTTTCATGAATTTGGGGGAAATGCTTAACCACCATCTCTTCCAATATTTCTTCTGCCCACTCTCGCTCTCCGTCTTCTCGGATTCTAGTTACATATATATGAGACCATTGGATGACGTCTTACAGGTCTCGGGCAGTGTAATAAGTTTTTCATTCCGCTTCTCTCTGTGCTTTGGTTGGCTAAGATCTGAGCCTTTCTTCTCCTGTGTCCTGTCTGCTGTTACACCTATCCCGCAAATTTTCACTTTAGTTCTAGAACTTCTATTTATTTTATTTTTTTGAAGAACTTCATTTGTCTGCTAAGTTCTTCATCGCTTCACCCTCCTCTCTGTATCTTCCCGTAAGGTTTGAAATGGATTTGTAATTGTTGGTCTGAAGTCCTCGTCTGCTGGATCCGGGCTCATCTCTGGGTTTGCTCCTGTTTACTCGTTCCGTCTTGATCTCTAGTCACGTCTTAACACTTCCTGTGTGTAGTAGCTTTCATTGCATCCTGGATATTGTCACTGACACACTGAGGAGGCTCTGGATCAGACCCTTCCTTATGGAGCATTAAGTGTAGTTCTAGAAGACCCTTAAATAACTGGCGAATCATCTTGATCCTGTGTGGAGGCTTGGTTTTAGGCTTCTCTGGGGTGAGTACATCTCAGTTTTGATCTTTGTCCTAGAGCATAACCCTCAGTGCTGGTGCGCAGTCTTTGTTCTCACAGCCAGGCCCTTCCAGGGTTTTGAGGGGATGCCCCAGGTGTCTACCGAGCCTTTCTAACTTGGGTGAGCCGCATGCTGAACTCGTCTCTCTGTAGCGCTGGGGAGCACTGAACTCTCCTCCCAGGTCTTGAATGTTCCAGTTCCACTTTCTGTTGTCTATACACAGTTTAGGAGTCAGCCAAGGACTTGAGAATTTATACATATATTTTGGGGCTCCCTCATTCTGGGGATATCCCCCATTTCCAGCCACAATGGCAGCCCCACACCGGCAGCCCCACACCATTACCGTCAGCCAGGTTGGACTGCTGCATACTGCGAGAACTTTATTCCTCAGGGAACCTGGGGACCTGTGCACCTCGCTGACTTGGTTTCTTTTCACCCAAGGATTGTATCCCTCAGCTTTGGCTGACCTCCAGCCGTGTGTGTGTGTGTCCACCCGTGGATGCATTTCGGACTAACAGAGCTGACGAACCTTGGCTGAGAGGTGTCTGTTAGATGCAGTGAGGGAGCTAACAGGTGAGAATGAGGATGGGCAGCTTGGCCTGAAGGACGGAATCTCGTTTATGCTCTAAGTTAACTGAATACAGTAAGTGGTTTTCTATTTCACAACATTGAGAAAAGTACAAGAAGAAAGTAGTTTCTTTGGGTGAAAGAGGACATTTGCCTGTGAAGTGTTGTTCGAAGTCTTCATCTAATCAAGGACAACAAGCTGAAGGCTCGGTCACTCAGACGTCATCCGTTCAGACGTGGAGATCACACCAGTGTCTTTGCTCGTCCAGGCGTCTGTGGGCACCAGGGCAGAGCCTGGAAGAGTGTGGGGCAGACGGGCCAGCTCCGCTCAGTCCTCCCAAGGCCCCAGCAAGGGGAACCTGGGGAGCCTGACTTTCCAGTCACACTATTTCAGACCCGCTTAGTTGTCCCCTAAGTCTGGACGGGAAGCTACCCTCGCTGCAGGCACCCCAAGCCTGAGTGCCCCTCAGAAGGACGTGTGCTTGGGTCGTTTCCTGGGAGGGAGGTGGACGTGCGTTCCCTGTGCCCTGTGGTCGGAGGTTTGCATCTGTGAGGTTGCTGGTGCCCCCTGGCTCAGGCCATGGCCTTCGTGTGCATTCGGGTTCAAATCCAGGCTTTGTCACTGGATGGTTGGTCAGTTTGGGCAGGTCCCTCATGCTCTTAGAGTCTGTTTCTTCATTTGAAAAGTGAGGTGGAAACAGCGCCCTTCCCCCATGAGAGCCCACCAACAGCTAAGAGATGCCAGAGGCAAAAGCCCTGTCGGCCTCGAAATGTGACGAGTGGGGGGCTGGTGACAGTGACCCCAGAGAGCAGCCCTGATGGCGTGGGCGCCGAGCCCCTGTACGCTGACCTGACTGGTGAGAAGGGCTACAGAAGAACAAGTCATGAAGGGGGATGAGCAGTGGAGCGGCCGAGGGGGTCTCCCGTGGGGAGCTTCTCCCGGACAAAGCCCCCCCAGATGCTTCTCCCTCCTACCGCCCCACGGCAGGGGCCCCAGGAGCCCCTTCCCTTTCTGCACCTAGCCCGCCTCGGGGACAGCGATCGCTCGGCCACATCCCCGCCCCCACCCGCTGCTCCGTGTGCAGCAGGCTCCCCCAGATGTTTGCCCCTCCCACTTCAGTGTGTGAACTGCTCCCCTCCGCCAGCCAGGCCCCTGCAGTGTTGGCGCAGGTCAGCGACTTATCCAGAGCCTGGAGCGGTTTGAGAGCTGCTGGTCGGCACCGACAAGGGGCCCCTGTGGGCGAGGAGACCGCTGAGGGCCCCAGGGTGGCAGAAGCACCTCTCCAGAGGGCTCCCTGCCAGCCCAGGCATTCCTAACAAGCAGCAGCATCCAGAAGGGCCTGTTAATGAGTCCAAGTGGATAATGGCCTGTCTGAATAAAAGGCCTCCCATAGGAGGCTCGTTTCTGCATGTTAGGTCTCAGGGAAAACCACGTTTAGCCGGGCTCAGAAGCAGGAAAAGAGCTGTGGTGGTGGGCTTTCGCTTTCCACGACTGCAAACTGAGCCAGGCTTCCGAGGCCTCGGGGCCCCTTCTCCGTCCAGGCCGGGTGCCAGAGGGGGACCTGCAGTTGGCTCAGCTGCGCCAGGAAGCTGAGCAGCATGGGGGCGCGCCCCTTCTGCCTCGCAGGCTGGAGTTCCTTGGGCGGCTTGGCTGTGGCTGGCCCCGCCCTCCTCATCCAAAGGCTCCCCGAGGGCAGGCTGTGTCTTCCCGTCCCATCTCTGCGGTGCTGGCACAGCGGCTTTAGCACATGGGGGCAGGGTACATGTGATAAAACCTAAGAAAGGACAGCCTTGCAGCTCGGCCGCCACTCCTTGAAGACGACGCTCCATCCCCTGTGCAGCTGATTTCACATCCTCTCTGCAGCCCTCATCCTGATGACCCGGGGCTCTCATGTCACGGACACTCTGGGTTTGCAGAAGGACATTGTGCTTCAGTGACTCACGGAAATAGACGGACAGAAGCGCGAAGACACAGATGTGCTCCGGAGGCAGGGCCCTGTTCCGTGACTCTCAGAATGGCCAGCACGGTGAGGGCTGCCTGCGGCCTCAAGGGAGAGGAGACCGACGATGACGTGGCAGGAGAGCCTGGAGCTGCTACGGCTCCTCGCCGGGTTCCCGAAGCCTCGGGAGAGGGCACTGGATCTGGCCGTTTCCTCCTCCGTCAAGACAGGGCCGCCGGCCTGGAGGGTCGCTGCGAGGGGGAGCGTTGGTGACAAAACGCGCAAGTGCCTGGGCTGTGCAGGAGCCGCCGCTGGCACCGCGTGGCAGCACAGTTACGAGTGCGGCTCCGCTCAGAAGATGTGGGGGGAGCCAGCGACCTTTGCAGCTGTTCTTTCTCAGCTTCAGACTCGCCCTGCTGTCCCTCACTCTCGCTCTGTCCCCCCCGCAGGCACCGGGAACAGTATCGTGGTTGTGTCAGTGAATGGATTTCCCCGCCAAGAACTGAAGATCGACGAGAACTTAGGAGGGATAAGCACCTCCTTCCTTGGCTTCCAGCTCATGCCCGAGGTACCCAGCAGTGTATGTGTGCCGCGTGTGCAGCGCTGGCCTGCCACCGCCCACACTGTGGTTTCTGTCTCAGCAGGAGCAGCTCTGGGCGGCGTGTGCCGGATACGACGACATCTACATCTGGAGCCTGAAGGACCTGGCCGCGTCCCCGGAGAGGGTTCCCCTTCAGGACTGCTCCGAGATCAACTGCATGATCAGGGTGAAGAAGCAGGTAAGGCGGGGCTGCGCCCCCTCGAAGAGCACCCTGCCAGGCCCTGCCCTGGCCTGGCCTTGTCCACTCGAGCCTCAGTTGCCTGGGCCTGCCGGCAGAGGCCCTGTCTGGGGAGGATGTGGATTTGGGGTGCACCCTTCCACCCAGTGTGCTGAGTACAGCACTGTGCCCTCATGAGGGGTCTCCTTTCCCTGGCCGGGCCACGTGTGGCTGATGCCCCTCCATTTCTTCTTGGCAGATCTGGGTGGGCGGCACGGGGCTGTCACAGGGGAAATCCAAAGGGAAGATCTACGTGATTGACGTCGAGAGGAAGACGGTGGAAAAGGAGCTGGTGGCCCACACAGACACAGTGAAGACTCTGTGCTCGGCCGAGGACAGATACGTGCTGAGCGGGTCGGGCAGGGAGGAAGGCAAGATCGCCATCTGGAAGGTCGAATAAACGTGGGTGAATGTGCGGAGTGGAGCTGTGCTCTGTGAGTGAGAACCGTGTGCCCTTGGCTGGCTTTCTGGAGCTTTCCCAGAGAAGGCAGGCACCGGAGCCAGTCTGGGCCCCGGGAGGCGGGGTGTGTCCCCTGCAGGTGCCTGTTGTCTCTCTGCCTCAGTTAGGAGACCAAGGACAACGTGCTTTCTTTCTTGGACCTTCCTAATTGAACGGTACCCACAGCGTTTCAGGCTGGGGTGCTGAGTTCTCAGGCAGGCAGCTGGATCACCTTGGGATAAGCTCTGCTGAGAAGTTACCCTGTGTGTTGTCTAGAAAGTTCCAGAATCCACAACCAGGGGCCAGCTACAAGCAATTTAACCAAATCAGGGTGACCTGCAGACCTCGTGCCCCTGGTTTTGCCTCTCCTCTGCTTCATTCATCCGACAAATACTGCTTAACCGGCTTTACAGGAGCCCTTACTGCCTCGCACTGACTTCTTGTTTCCAGCAAAGCTCACGAGGAGGGCATTTTAAAATGACCACTCTGTGGCGGAACAGGTTTGTGCTGCCTTTGCCATCCCCCATCAGAGCAGGTGACCAAAGTCTGCCCAGGGCGGGGGCAACTCTTGACCTAAGACTGTCTGGACAAGGGTTGGGCCAGCTGAGGCAAGCTCTGTGTTTTTCCTTTTCCTTTTCTTTTCAATGCAAAATTTTTATAATGAAGAAACCTAGAGAGACTTTCTTCTACCAAAGGTCACAGACAAAAAGTTCCATCGTATGTAGTTTTCCAGTAAAGTTGCTGCCGCCTAAACTTCCTTACCAGATATTAACGTACGTTTCCACTCCGTTTGCCTGTGTGTACACCACACGTGGCTCTGTGGATGGTGCTTTATAATTTAACTGAAGATGATCTCATTAGCTATAAGTAACTAAATATTTGCAAAAAAAGCCTTTTGCACATTTTTACTCTAATATTGGGATATCATTCCTTAAATGTCCAGCAAGGGAGGTTTTGGCATGGATGCTGGACCCGGAGGGAGCGTCCACCTGCCAGCACCGTGGGAGGGCCTGCGCTGTGCCCCGGGGACCCCTCATGAGCTCAGCTGCAGAGGGGCTGCTGCACCCTTGGCCCTGGGCTTTTAGGACTCAGTTGGATGGCGCACGAGCCCTCGTGCCCCCGAGAGGTCTCTGAGGGTGTCTGTCAGCCCCCCAGAGCAGAGCCAAGCTTCAGAAGCATCTGTGGTGTCTCAGAATGAAAGTTTTGGCCAGGTCTGTGGCTCAGTCTACAGGACCCGAATGTTCTGGAAGGTCCAGATTGTGGAACGACGTTTTGGGGCATTCTGGGAATGTGGTGCAGAGAACAGCTAGGTGGACTAGCTCCCCGACAGTCGGTGCTTCTCGAGGGTGTGTTCCCCCGACTCCTAGAAGGAAGCAGCCAGCAGCAAAGCGCAGAGGGGGGAATTCTGCTTTTGTAAACACGTGCAAAGTTACAGTAAAAGCCAGTCAGAAGTACACATAAGTTATTTAATCCAGTCCACATGTAACCAGGTATTTTCACCTTGTCGATAATAAATTCTTTTGTTAATAAACACTGCTATCCAATTTCCTTACTTTATCCAACATTAACTAGTGGGAGCGATCTTTAAAATAATACAGGACCATTTGGGATTTGCTCTGAACTCATTCTAAGCTCCCATCAAGTTATTTTAATGCAAACTTTTCATTTCCTTTATTCTTGGTGATAATTCCTAAGATCGTATTGGACAGTGATTGCATTTAAAACAACCGGCGCAGAAAAACCAGCAGCTTTTAGGAAATGGTCATTTATATGAAAGAGAAAACAGGTTACAGTGGCGTTAACGGGGATAAATGGGCTGGGGTGGGGGGTTCTGTGTTTATGTAAATAGACTCTTGGTGGGCTGGGGGGGGCCTGTTAAATGAAAAGGGCACTTTTATGCCTTCTCTGTTTCCTCTGAACTTTGGAGAGATTCCACGATGAATGATTTGTTGTGGGAAAGCCCAAAATGAGCCGGAATTCATTAACCACGGGACGCCTTCCCTGCCTTGGCTTTAGAAACCCGAATTAAACTGGTACCAAAAAGTCTTCCCCTTGAACTAGAAGCCAGTCTACGTTCATCCAGTTCCAGCTCTCCGGCCGTATTTCAGACAATAGAAGAGCAAGCTTGCTTTGGGGGCTGGCCCTGCTCCCACAACGCCAGTCCAAAGCTTGCCCCGCTCCCCGCATTGCTGCAGAAGTTGTAAAGATGATCACATGACGACATTTTTATGGTTTATCTCAGAAGATGTGAATGCGTCGGCTGCTTCCTGGTGACAGCCTTGGAATTGGATGTGATTATAACATCTGAATTAAAAATGCATGACTTTTGTCCGTTTCTAGAAGATTCCTTAGGAAGATGAAGTGGCGCTTTCTCCACATAGCCAGGGAGGGGCATGGTTGGAAAGCCAGGCAGAGCTGCCCCGCTGTCTCTTCTGCCTGCAGATGTTTGTGTTTTTGCAGCAGTGCCGAGGGATCCCGGGAGCCGGGAGTGAGGCAGAGGCCCGTGGACCCTCGAGAGCTGCTTTCTCTGGCCCAGGCTGCTGCTCGGCTGCAGCGCGACCTTGAGCGAGCATGGGACTCCGGGGCCTGATTGGGCCTAGCTGGGACCTGGTCACGTGACCCGACTCCCTGTGAAATGGAGATGGTTCCTTCTGACTGGGCTGGTTTGGAGACTGAGAAGGGCACTCCACTGCGAGGCCTGGGAGCAGCTGAGAGAATATTCTATCCTGGTCTGCTTGCTGGGCTCTTGTGAAAATACTAAGAAAGAGCAAATATAAAAGCGATAGGTACTATGACAGGTGAACAGGGGCCTCAGAAAGACTCGTCCGTGTCCCAACCCTCAGAACCCATGAATGTGACCTTATTCGGAAAAAAGATCTTTGCAGATACAATTCAGTTAAAGATCGCAAGATGAGATCATCCTGGATTAGGTGGGCCCTAAACCCAATGACAGGTGTTCTTAGGAGAGGAGAAGACACAGAGATGGACACTATGTGTCACCTGCCAGAGACGCACTTTAAATCTGGAACTACAAATGAGGGAAGAGTAAAGGATGAAAAAAGCATACCAAGCAAATAATAAGCATGAGAAGCTGGGCTGGCTATTACTACCAGACACAACAGGCCTCACTTCAAGGTGCGCTACAAGGAGCACGCCGGGATATGCATAATGATAGAAAGGTGGTGCATCAAGAAGACATCATAATCTGCATGTATGTGCACTTAGCAATTTAGAGATCTGAGATACATGAAGCAAACGTGGTAGAACTACAGGAGAAAACAGACAAATCCACGCTCAGGGTGGAGATTTTAACACCCTTCTCTCACATGCTAAAAGAACATGTAAACAAAAAATTATCAAGGATAGAAGACTCCACACTGCCAGCCAATGCGACCTGCCATCCCCGCACACTGTACCCAGCAGTGCACTGTCCTTCCTCTCCAGTGCACACGGAGCGTTCACCAACGGGACCGTGGGCTGGACCATAAAATAAGTCTGAGAAGATTTAAATCATAGAGAATGTGTTCTCAGAACACACCAAAGTTAAATTAGAAATCAACAGCAATAATTACCTAAAAAATCCCCCAATTAAAATTGTGTTGGAAATTAATATACTTCCAATTAACCTATGGGTCAAAGAAAAAAAATCACAAAGGTAATTCGAAAATATTTCAAACTGAATGATAGTGAAAACAATATATCAAGATCTGTGGGATGCAGCAAAAGCAGTGCTTAGACGTAGAATAGCTTTAAATTAGAAGAAAAGTTTAAAATCAATAAATTTCCATCGTAAGAATATAGAAAAATGAAAGCATATTTAAGCCAAAATAAGTAAAGGAAAGAAATAATAAAGCCCAAAAATGACGGAAATGGAAAACAGAATCAACAAAGCCAAAAATTGGTTCTTGAAAGTAATGGGTCAACTCTAGCAAGACTGATCAAGAAAAGAAAGCAAACACAAGTGACCAATATCAGGAATGAAAGAGAGGATAAAATCCTACAGACATCAAAAAAATATAGACATCAAAAGGATATCACAAACAACTTTACAGCAATAAATATGACAGCTTAGATGAAATGTACAAATTTCCTGAAAACAACTTTATGAAACCAGTGCAAGAAGAAACAGAAATGACTAGTCCTGTATCTATTAAGGAAATTGACTTTAGTCAAATCCTTCCCACAAAGAAAGTTCTAGGCCCAGTTGATTTCATTAGTGAATTCTAACAAACTCTTAAGGATGGACTAATAGAGTAATATTAATAATAATTCCACAGAAACTCAGGAGAACACTTCCCAGCTCGTTCTAGGAGATCAGCATGACCCTGCACTAAAATCTGACAAAAGCATTACAGGAAAATGAAATCACAGATCAGTTGCACTCATGAACACAGATGCAAAATTCCTGAACAAAATATTAGCAGCTTGAATCCAGCAGTATTTTAAAACAGTAATACAGCATGACCAAGTGGGGCTTGTTCCAGGAATGCGAGGCGACTCCAGCATTTGGAAGGCCATCTGAGTGATTCGGCACGTTAACAGAATAAAAGAGAGGGGCCACAATGACCATCTCAACAGACGCAGAAGGAAATCTGACAAAATAATATACTCATGCTAACAATCTCAGCAAACTGAGAAGAGAAGGGGACTTCCTCGAACTGGTAAAGAGCATCCACAAGAAGCCTGCAGTGGACACTGTACTTGATGGTCAGAGTCTGATGGCTTTCCCTCCAAGAGAGGGACCACAGGACGTTCACTGCCACCCTCCTGTTCCACACTGTCCTGGAGGTTCTGCTCACAGCAACCAGACGGACAAAGAGAAGACTGGACGGGAAGGGGCAAGACTATCTTTATTCACAGACAGCATGGCTGTTTACATAAATCCCAAAGAATCTATTTTGTTAAAACTTACCAGAATAAGCAAATTTAGCAAGTCATGGAATACAAGGTCAGCATACAATAATCACGCATTTCTGTATTCTAACAGTCACGGGGAAATGTAAAACACCACTTATACCAGCATGAAAAACACATGAATGGGAACGAGTTTAGTGAAGATGTACAAGGCCTGCACCCTGCAAGCTCACGGGCACTGCCGGGGTTGCGAGAAGACCCAGACGACAAGATAAGCCATGTTCACGGGTTGGAAGATTAAATATTACAAACACGTTTGTTCTCTCCAAGTCAACCCAACAGATTCAACTTAATCCCATCCAAATCCCAACATGAGTTTTTAAAAAATATATTGACAGGGCCTGCCCGGTGGCGCAGCAGTTAAGTGCGCGCGTTCCGCTTTGGCGGCCCAGGGTTCGCCGGTTCGGATCCTGCATGTGGACATGGCACCGCTTGGCAAGCCATGTTGTGGCAGGCGTCCCACACATAAAGTAGAGGAAGATGGGCACGGATGTTAGCTCAGGGCCTGTCTTCCTCAGCAAAAAGAGGAGGATTGGCAGCAGATGTTAGCTCAGGGCTAATCTTCCTCAAAAAAAAAAAAAACCTGTTGACAATTTGATTTTCTATACATATGGAAATGCAAAGTAGAATAGTTAAGATAACCTTTAAAAACGAGGTCAAAGCTGGAGGACTCACTATGTGATAGAAGCTTTAGCAAAAAGCTACAGTAATCAAGACTGTAAGAGTGTGGGATTTGGCAAAAGGATAGATAAATAGATCAATGGAACAGAATGCTGGGTCTAGACACATAAGTGTACAGGCAGTTGATATTCAGCAGAAATTCCAGGACAATTCAATAAGGAAAGTCTTCAATGAAAGTGCTGCAACAGCTGGAGAACGTACGGCAAAGAGAAGCAGCTCCACCCGCTCTCCCTACAGAAAATGTGACTCAAGCTGGTTCACCTGAATGTAAAGTTCTACGTTCTAGAAACTTCCAGAAAGCATGGGAGAATATCTTTGTGACTCTGTATAGACAAAGGATTTTTTTAGAGGGGACTCCAAAGAATGCTAAATATAAAAGAAAAAGTTGATAAATTGGACTTCAAAACACATCATTAAGAAAGTGAAAAAAGAACCCACAGACTGGGAGAAAATATTTACAAGGCTACATCTGGCAAAGACTTGTATCCAAAATATATAGGAGCTCCCACAAATCAATAAAAAGACAAACAGCTCAGTTAAAAAATAGGCAAAAGATACTTCACCAATGAAGATATATGGATGGCCAGTTTGAAAAGATGCTTAAAATCAGTCATCAGGAAAATACATATTAAACTACAATGAAATACCACTTGGTGCTCATTAGAATGGCTAATATTAAAGATTCACAATGGCAAACACAGGTGAACTTACGGAGCAAATGGAACTCTCATACACTGCTGGATAAAAATAACCACTTGGGGAGAACTGTTTGTCAGCTTCTTATAGACACACACCTACCCTGCAACTCCACAATCCCACACTTAGTCTTTTACCCGAGAGAAATGAAAACATACGTCTACAGAGCTCTTTATGAGAACGTTCATAGCATCTTTATTTGTAATAGCCCTGGACTGGAAACACCCAGAAAGTGGAAAATG